CTGAGGCACTGCCTGGAGCGGACTGACTTGAGGGTGTGTGTGTGCAGACAGATTATTAATTGGTGTAGGAAGGCCCAGGCCACCACGGGCCACGCCATCCCCAGACAGACAGTTCTGAGTTGTGCAGGTTAGCCGAGAGGGAGCCACCAAGCGGCACGCCTCCCTGGCTTCTCCTCCCACTGTGAGTGAGTCCCCTGTTTGGAGGTGACACTTTGTGCAACAGCAAACCCTGACACGACGCCCCTGACATTCTCGGTGACAGGTTAAGGCCTGAAAGGTATGACATGAAGTAAACCCTGGCCTCCCATAAATTGCTTTTGGCCTGTGTGTCTTTACCACAGCAACAGAAAACAAACCAGGACCAGTCCCGATGGCAGGATGACTGACTCTCAGATGCAGGACCCATAGATCCAGAAGGGTACTGCATGCAACACACCGGCACACGGACTACGCCTAGAGCCAACCACACCCCCGCAGCACAGACACTGTAGCTTTCCTGCGAGCGGTGGATTGTGTTGATGCAGAATTTGTCTCGGTGGGTCAAGGAGGACCAACAGCCTGCATCTCGGACAGGATGCTTCAGTTCCTGCCTGCAGGAAGCCGTTTGGAGAATGGACTAGGAAGCCAATGACCCCAATTAAAGGCACTGCCTTCACTTCCTGGGAACGTTTTTTGTTTGTTTGTTTTGTTTTGTTTTGTTTTTATTTGCTTCTGGGTTTCGGTTTGGCTTTTGTTTGTTTTTTGAGACAGGGTTTCTCTGTGTAGCTTTGGGGCGTTTTTGACAACAGGGTCGGTGCTCTCCTCCAGAAGCCTTCCTTGGTTCACGTGACCAGAGCGGTCAAACTCAGCTGTCCCACCACCCTGAACGCCATCGAAGCAACAATTGGATCCCAAAGACAACCAGCTGCTCCCATCAGGTAACACGCTAACACGCACTTCTCTCGGTAGACTTTCTTTTTTTAAGTAAAATCCCAGTGCTGTGATGAGGGCCTTGTCCAGACAAATGTGCCAAAACAAACCACACCCAAGGACCCAGATCGGGGAGGGAGGGGAGAGGAGGGGAGGGCAGGAGAGGGGAGGGGGAGGGCAGGAGAAGGGAGGGGAGGGGAGGGGAGGAGAAGGGAGGGGAGGGGAAGGCAGAGGAACCGCTGTGACAGCAGCTCCCTGGCCTGCGGACTAAACCCAGGACACGAGAACGGGCAGCAGAAGCATGGAAGCCCTGCAGACCGAGGGTTTTCTTTCCGGGGCCACCAGCGGGAAGCGGTGTGTGCTGGGACTAAGTCAGCCCTCGCGGTGGTCTGCAGTGTGTCAGCTGCCTGTGCACAGAGGAGCCAAGGGCGCTTGGAGGCTCCGCCCTCCACAGATCTGGCGGCACACCCCTAACTACAGCGGGACCATCTGTCCGCAGAAACAGATCCTCCCCAGCCCTCCACAAAGCGCACCTTTCTAGAAACACCACCAGACGAGGCCCTGGGGACTCCGTGTGGGTGGTCCTTCCCGCTCATGGAAGGCGGCCCCTGTCTTTGCCTGGGCATCAGGGAGCAGCTAAGTTCTGCTAAGACAGGAGTTAGCCCTGGTCCTCCTCTTCGGTGCTGAAGACACAGCACGGCTCATCTGCAGAGGATGTCCCCTCCTCCACCCTGAGCTCAGCCACCCGTGCCGCAGGGGCCAGGGCCCCCTCCCCCTCACCACTGAAGACCCTGAATTCACAGAGCATCTGCTCACTGCTCGCACCTCGCATAGACACTGCTCCCCAAAAGGGGTGTGAGCATGACTTTCGTCCCCAGAAGGAAACAGAGAGTTGTTTTTGCCTTACTGGGATCCTGCTCATGAGGAGCGCGACACCTTTGGTGGCCTGATTTGATGGAGCCCTCAGGCCCAAATCAGCATCCTCGGCGCCACGGTCCTCTGGCGCCACCTAGTGCACGGAGATGGAAATGGCGCAAGACTGCAAAGTCCCTGGACCTTTCAGTGGTCCAACCTGCAAGGCTTCTGATGTCAACCTGTTTTAAGGGAGCCTGGTGACATGTCAGGCGCAGGGCGCTTATGTCTGGCTGTGTTCTTTAAACCAAACAATAAAGCACTTGACCCTTGGATGCGTCTTTACACCAAACGCTACCAGTTAAAAGATTATTTACACAGCAATATAACCTCTCTCTCTCTTCTCCCTTCCAAAACTATCATAACTGCAGTTGAAACCAGAATGTCCCGGTTGGGAACAGTTGCAGCAGGTTGCTCCTGTACCCCAGAGGGTACTGCAGACAGCTGTGCCGGGGGAGCCCAAAGGACCCCGTCGGCCTGGCACACGCCAGAGTGGTTAAGTCGGCCCTGCTTCAGGGTCCATCTGCACCTGTCTTCAGATTGGCTTAAAGTCACCTTCCAAGAGTTAGAGGGCCGGGCGGTGGTGGCGCACGCCTTTGATCCCAGCACTCGGGAGGTAGAGGCAGGCGGATCTCTGTGAGTTCGAGGCCAGCCTGGTCTACAGAGCGAGTTCCAGGACAGCCTCCAAAGCCACAGAGAGGCCCTGTCTTGGAAAACACACACACATGAAGAAACGGGGCTCCTTCAGGAACGCCCCAGGAGCTTCTCTGAACTCTGCATTCCTGAACCAACACTGACTGGAGCCAGGGTCTGCTGAGGACATGACCAGAGGAGACCCCAGCGGCCTTCGAGGAGCCCCCCACACCAGCCCAGTGGCTTTCTGCCTAAGGGCGGTCCCTGGACGTGTGTCCTCACTCTGAGCCGGTGTCGTCCTCTACATGCAGGAGACGGCCAGGGCCTGGGTGTGGGAGGAGCCTGCGCTGTGCTGTCTGAGAACACTGCAGTGCTGTATGTGTTAGCGGCGCTGCGGTAAGGAGCATGCAGCAGCCGTGCATGCGGTGCATGCCTGCAATCCATGCACTCCAGAGGGTGAGGCAGAAGGATCACCGGTTCAAGGATCACAGCCATGCACTGGACGCATAGCCAGGCCTTGTGTCAACAGAAGAGGGAGCCAGCTAAGTGGTGAAAGTCTTGCCGGGGCGTGGTGAGCAGAGTGAGGGATCCCCAGAATCTGTATGAACGCCAGGCATGCACAGAGCAGACTCCAGTGTGCGAGCAGAGATGGGAACCTGGAGCACGGTGGCTGCTCACCCAGACCAGCACTGCACACATGAGGACAGACACACATGCACACATGAGGACAGACACACACATGTACACATGAGGACACAGACACACACATGTACACAGGACACAGACACACATGTACACAGGAGGACACAGACACACATGTACACATGAGGACACAGACACACACATGTACACATGAGGACACAGACACACATGTACACGAGGACACAGACACATGAGGACACAGACACACATGTACACATGAGGACACTGACACACATGTACACATGAAGACACAGACACACACATGCACGCATGACGACACAGACACATGAGGACACAGACACACACATGTACACATGAGGACACAGACACATGAGGACACAGACACACATGTACACATGAGGACACTGACACACGTGCACACATGAGGACACAGACACACATGTACATGAGGACACAGACACACATGTACACATGAGGACACAGACACACACATGCACACATAGGCACACAGTGGCCACACGCTGACCCTCCATGTAGGGCAGGAGAGCTACTGACCAAGGCCAGGCTGAAAGAAGCTCAAAGACCTTTGCACCCACAGCCTGCTGTTAGCGTGAAGGGTGACAGACGTCGCCTAACTCCTCGGAGTCTCCCGAGGCCCAGGCAGCAGGGGAGGAGGCTCGCCACCCACAAACATGTACATGAGGATGGGGTAGTGGGACCCTCGGGTGTGCCGGAGCCACCGGCTGAGGAAAGCAGAAGGCGGGGCTGTGTGTGAGGTAAGGTGTGGACAGAATGAGGAAGGAAACTGCGCTCAGGCGGGGCCTTCCCCAGGTGGGGAGACAGCTCTGAGGCTGTGGCCGTCGGCTTTCTAAGAACACATGCAGACGGGTGGCCTAGAAACAACCGTCTTACCTGGGGACCACAGACTGCCCTGCCATGGGCCACGCTCTCTGCAGGGGGTCCGTGGTTCATCAGTCGTTCGTACAGGTATTTTTGTTTGTTGTTTTACGACACAGGGTTTCTCTGTATTGTTTTGGAGGCTGTCGGTCCAGCCCGGCCTTGAACTCACAGAGATCTGCCTGCCTCTGCCTCCCGAGTGCTGGGATTAAAGGTGTGCGCCACCACCACCCGGCTCTTCGTACAGGTATTTTTGCCAAGGTCAATCTGCAAACCAGTCCTATGCAACCGTCTATCAAATAAACTCAGGTCGGTCGTGGCTGTAAAATACCACGGATGTAACTGTCTGTGGAACTGTGGTGGACGGTTGTGTTACTGTCTTCTTTCCTCTCTAATCACTGGACAAGTGAAACAATGACAACCACGTGTTGTCTGTGAACGTTTCCATGTTTGAGGGGATTTTCGTTTTGAATAGTGTAGAGGAACTATCGTCACCTGTCCTTGTAAACTAAGTTTTCCTGAAACACAGGTGCTCTACAGAGGGAAGGTCTCAGCAGTCCACTGTGGTTCAACACTGCCAACCCACCCGGCCCCAACTTGTCCCTCAAGCCAAGAGTACCTGAGAGGCTTACAAGTTCACTTCCTGACCATTAACAGCCGGTGAGGGGACTGAAATGGAAGACACCAGGAAACAGAGCACAGCGGCTGCCTGGCCCTCACAGCCTCCCACTCAGAAGCTCAGCACCTCACCCCTTCCCCGCTGGGCTTACTTCTGTCCATGACAACTATAGCTTGGCCGTCTGTCTGTCCTCAGCTACCCAATGCCTAGTGCCCTCCTCCGCTCCCTGAGGACACCCTTCTCAGGGCTGAGCAGCCGCCGCTCCATCCCGGGGAGCAGCTCTTCCAAGTCCACTGTTTGTAAGGAGAGCAGAGGAAGGAACATTAAACACACTACTCTTTAACAGAAACCATCCACAGACTTCAAATAACCTCGTATAAAAGTGTTTATTCCGACCGCAGTGCAAACGCGGGAAGTCCGCCCTCCATGGGAGGGAACCTCAGGCCTCGGTGACGTCAGGGAGAGAGGGCTCGTGAGCTGCTCATGATCTCGGCGGAAGCCTGGAGGATGCTCAGCTCTTCCTTCCGCAGAGACTCCACCAGAGTGAGCTCATGTGCCGGGAGCGCCTTCCCCTCCTTCATGTCAGAAACCTGCAAGTTACGCCTAACTTTTTATTGCGATACAAGTGCGTCATCAGATCGGCTGTTTTAACTGCTTTGAGGCAGGCAGGCAGTGACCGCGGCCCCCATCACTTTCTTCTCTAAGGATGAATGAGTGCGCCAGCCGGCTCCCCTCCCCCGAGCCCGTGAATCTCGCTGGCCTCCGGTAAGTGGACAGCATTTGTCCTTTTGTGGTTTTCTTTTCACTTGACATAAAATCTTCACAGCGCACTAAAATTCTTAATTTTAATACAGTCAAGTTTCTTATGAACTGGTTTCTCATTTAAAAAATTATGAAATTAAGACACACATAGGAAAAAAATATTTGAAACACTATCACTAAGAAATCAAGCAATGATAGAACATGAGGCAAAAATTAAGACTCAACCTAAGTGCCCAACGATGAATGAACAGAGAAAATATTAATATCCTTACTTACACAATGGTATAGTCTTAAACGAAAATGAGCAGTGGCAGGGCTTGGGTTTAGAGTGTGTGCCCAGCAGGTGTGAGGACCCAGGTCCCATCCCAGTGACACAAAAAAGGGGGGAGAACAGGAGGCCCCATTTGCGATCCCAGGGGTGAGCCCGGAGGACACGGGTTAAGTCAGACACAAAAGCCACGGCCTTCCTATGCTCACCTGGGTAACAGAAAGAACGGCGGCCGCCGTGGGAATGGCGGCGAGACTGTGGAGACCACAGTCGACAAACACAGAGTTTATCGAGAGATAAGGGGCAGGTCCCAGAGCTCCCGTACAACACGTGGTCTCAGTTAGGAACAAGACTCATAGTGCGTGCCAAGAAAGAGATTGTAGGAGCTCCGGCGTGGGTGACACTGTTAAACAGTTTGACGGAGCAATCCCACAAGGTGCGTGTGCATCTGTACGTAGCCCTTCCAGACTAGCCTGTGCCTGCACGTGCAGAGGCCGGGGGCTGACACTGAGTGCCAGCTTCTATTGCTGGTGTGGTGGGGACCGGAACCCAGGTGCTCCCGCTAACACAGCAACCACTAACCCAGCACCGACACCTAACTCTAAAGTGTGACTCTGTCAACACAGCCAGACACAGAGATGGCAAGACGTTCGCTCACTGGAGATTCCCGGGGCTCTCCTGACAGCGGGCACAGCAAGGAGCCTGGGGACCGGAACCCCGTGTCCAGGCAGCTTCAGGAAACACACCTTGTGCAGCACAGCCTGAGTCTCCTCCATGAAGTCAGAGCATATCCTCTGGGCTATGCCCAAGCTTGTCTTCTCATTTGTATCTGAGATTGCTTCACCAAGGAGTACTTTTTTCCAGGACGTACTAGAACCAGAATGGCCAATAAGATCATTTCAGCGGTTCTCATTCTGATAACAGCGTTCCGCCATGCGGCGTTCACACGAGCCCTGTCCCCGCCCTTCCTGGGCACAGTGAGGCTTGTCCCCAAACCTGTAACATCACTACAGTTCCCATGGTAGTTTGAATACAATTGCCCCCCCCCCCCGTAATCTCATAGAGAATGGCACTGTTAGGAGGTGTGGCCCTGTTGGAGTAGGTGTGGCCTTGTTGGAGGAAGTGTGTCACTGTGGGGGTGGGCTTTCAGGTCTCTTTTGCTCAAGCTTCCCTCTGTGTGACAGTCCACTTTCGGTTGCTTTCTGATCGAGATGTAGACAGCACCATGTCTGCCGGCATGCTGCCACGCTCCCCGCCATGACGACAATGGACTCAACCCCTGAACTGTAAGCCACCACCTCAGTTAAATGTTTTCCTTTATAAGAGTTGACGAGGTCACGGCGTCTCTTCAAAGCAACAGAAACCCTAACCAAGACGAAGAGCTGCCGTGGCCACAGCGTCTCTTTGCAGCAACAGAAACCCTAACCAAGGCACACAGAAACAGAGGAAGGAAGAGTAGCCAAGAGTGAACCAAACAGGAGCCGGCTGCTTGGGTGTTCTTCACCAGCTGTGGCTGAATTCTATTTTCACGTCAATCCTGTGTCTGGCGTACAAGTTACCGGAGCCACACCCACCAGAGGCAAGGGCACTGCATGCCCCTTGGCTATAGGTGACAGTTCCTCCTGAAGGCTGGCAACCAAGAACACAATCCCCTGCCAAATGCCCTACAGCCAGGCCACTCTCTGCACGCCGGCCGGTCGCTCATGCGGCCTTGGCTTGCAGAAGCGAGGCTGCGGGAGGAGGTGAGGCCAGTGTTCAGCAATCTCGAGACCATAGGTCTGTCGAGGCAGCGTCGAGGGAGCCGAAGGTTTTGAAGCCGGAGGGGTGAAAGCCAGGCTCCACTTGGGAGAAGCAGTCAGGGAGAAAGGACAGAGGGGAGGCAGGAGGGAGGAGTTGGGAGGAGGGGGCACGGAAATGGCTCAGGAGGAGGAGGTGAGAGGGTGGCTGGACACGAAGGTTAGAGTGTACGCAGCAGACAGAACTCCCAGCCCGACAGGTCGGCTCAGTGAGCAGAGGGACCTCGGCTTCAAGGCCGATAGCAAAAGGTCAGGAGACGACCTCACACAGGAAGGCTGGGAATCACCGGGTACCTGGGTGTTTCCCCTTGGGCCATGCCGCCCAAGCAAGCGACCCGAGGGAGACAATGAATGTGGGGATGACCTCTACAAATGGCTGTGCTGTCTCCTTATAAGGGTGCACACACACCTCGTCCCCACGGGGTGCAGGTGAGCTCAAATGGACCGGTCAGTGAGTGACTAGGGAGCGCGGGACAGTGGCGAGTGAGAGGAGAAAAGACAAGGAGAGCAGGGCGAGCCAGACCCTGCCTGTGCGGACGCTGTGCGCTGGGCTGACTGCACACCTGCCCGCCTGGGTCCTCTACCACGCAGGGGAGGAGCTCCACCACGTGACATGGCGCCCGTGCGGACAGACATGGTGCAGAGTTCTACACCCTGATCTGCAGGTAGCAGCAGGAGATGGTCTGCCACACTGGACACAGCTTGAACTTATGAGACCTCAGAGCCCACCCCCCAGTGGCACACTTCCTCCATCAAGGCCACGCCTCCCAGGAGAGCCACTCCCTATAGGGTCGTTCCTATTCAAACTACCACATCCTCTAAAACTCTAAGCAAGTCCCAAGTAAATGCTCTCTTTCCTAAGAGTTTCTGTGGTCATGGTGGATCCTAACAGCACTAGAACACTAAGACACACGCCATCCACAGTCTATATGGCCACGTTTCAGTTCAAAACTTTAACTTTTTATGGTACATTCGCCTACATACAGTAGTACATGATAAAACAGACAACTATGCATACATGCTTTTCTATTTTTCTTTCTCTACAACTAACTTTTTCTTAAAGTTTTCAATACTTCTGTGTGCAATTATTTTAAAACAATTTCATTCCCATGTAAGTGAATCTGCCAGGTGCAACCCTGTGCTGTTCAAGGGTCAACTACATCTCTGGTCACTAAGACCAGGGAGACGCTTTCCTTCTGATCCCCACAGGAAAGAGTAAGGATGCCGCAAGGGCAAGAGGGCTGTCCCTACACACCGCTGGACACCTGCCCCGCATCCTAGGCAGCAGCAAGGCAGCTGCTGTCAGATCAGTCCTGGCCTGGAGGGGTCCCTGTGATGACCGGAGCTCAGCTACGGGGGTTGACAGGCAGCTAGCTCTGGGACATGACCTTCGGCCCCTTAGGAACATTAAGGAGCCAATCACAATGCATGTCTACACTGCGTCCTCTCGTGGAGACCAACCCCAGAGTAGAACTGGGGGCGAGGGACAATGTGGGATCCCACAAGTGACTCAGTTTCCATCTGCAGCCTGTTCTGACCCATAAGACATTAGAGTTCAAGATGGCTTGTCTCGGTCTCCTTGAGAGCCGTGAGAAAGTCCTGATGAAGCCCAGGGGAAAGAGCGTGTTATCTGACTAACAAGCTCCTGGTGCCAGTGTAGGCAGGCAGAGACAGCGCAGGAAGCTGCTTGCTGAGGGAGGACCCAGGTTTAGATAGTGAGCCTGGCTGCTCACCGAGTCAAGGGCAGTGCGGGGAGCTGGTTAACTGCTGCTGCTCTGTGTTCTGCTTTCCTAGTCTGTCTACAGGCAGGCTCTAAATTAAAGTCAGGGTGCCCGGTGTACTGAGACACATGGACGGGGCAGTCCTGAATCTCTCCTGTGTTTCTGTCTCTGTTTCTTTACTGCCTTGTCTCAGTCCTCACACCCCCCTCAAGGAACCCAGCTGACTCATCGGAGCAGGCTCCGACAGGGAAACATGGGACCAGACAGGGCAAAGCTGGGAGCTTGTCTATCACAGGAAAGCCCACCTACTCAGAGCCGTGCCCCTGAGGCACCCGTGCTGACAGGACACTAATCAGACTGACAGGACACTAATCAGACAGTCACCAGGGGCAATACCTCAACACAGAGCGCAAAGTTCTCAGAGCCACGCAAGGAGCAGCTTCGGGGCAGGGTTTCCTCCTCTTCCCCCTAAATGCAAGCCTCCCAAACAAACCCCTCCGGTTTTTACCAAGAAGCAGACACTGTCCTGGCAGTGGTGGCCCAAGCCTTTAACCCCAGCACACAGAAGTCAGAGCAAGCAGATCTCTGTGAGTTCAAGGCCAGCCTGGATGACAGTGAGTTCCAGGACGTCCAGGGCTACACAGAGAAACCCTGCTTCAGAAAACAAGGTTGGGGGAGGGGGGGAGGAATGCAGGTGAAACTTACAATTTCTCAGCTTCCAGACACAGCAACTTAAGAGCTGTGAGCAACCTCCAAGAAGGTCCATCCCATCCAAACGTCAAATTTCTACGGGAGAAAAGCAGGCAGCACCAAATCTGTCACTTAGGAATGACACCATGGCAAACACCAAAGAAACCTAGCAGTGGCTTTGAACAGGCACATGTTGGGTCAATGGATTTGTGTTCTGACTGTTCCGGGTTGTGCTGGATAATTTGTGGACTTGACACAAGCTGGAGTCAGTGGAGAGGAGGGAGCTTTGATTGAGAAAATTCCTTAGTAAGATCAAGCTATAGGCAGGCCTACAGGCTCTTAATTAGTGATTGGTGGAGGAGGGCCCAGCCCACTGTGGGTGGGGTCTCTCCCTGGGCTGGTGGTCCTGGGTTCTGCAAGACAGCAGGCCAAGCAAGCCTGTGAGCAGGGCCCTGCACGGCTCTTGCTTCAGCTCCTGCCCCCAGGTTCCTGTCCTGACTTCCCTCAGTCACGAGACTATGATGTAGAACCTCTCCAACTCACTTTTGGCCCTGGTGTTTTGTCACCACGACAGTGGCCGAGTTGAGGGTGAGAAGCCACTCTCCAATCGTTTTCAGAAGACCCTGAACTTGGTTTAGGGGGCCACAGCGAGGGACCTGGTAACCCCACCACACGGTTCAGGGAGATGAACAGGGGAGGGCGGCCGCACACTGTTGCTACGCATGGAAAGCCTGACTTAGACAGAAAAGACGACGTCCAAGGGTGAGTCTGGGATCTTATCTCTCCTACCCCCGATCTGTACCGATGCTGGCAGACAGGGTCTGCTCGGGGTCAGCCTGGCTTGTGACAACCCCGTACCACCCCCCTGAACCTGACCCACCTAATGACATTCGCAGAACTGTTTCAAGCTTGCCTCTCACATTCCCCCGGCAACTGTCTTCCACTGCTTGAGTGTCTACTACACGGGGCACAACTTTACTGCACAGTAAGGCCTTAGCGGATACCCACCCGTCGGCTAGCACAGAGGCGGGAGGTGTCGCGGCTGCAGAAGCCAGAACCCTCGGTACTGTCGTGGGAATGGATAGAAGCGCACTCACTCTGTGAAGCCGTGGTCCCTCAGGATGGACATCTTCTTGTGCATCTGTTTATCTGCTGCCGGGAGGTACTTAACCAGCGCGTCTGCGTCAGAGAGGAGATCCGGGTCACTGTCGGATATAACTCAGGCGAAGCGCACACAATGCCTTCTCCTCCAGCATACTTCCCTCCCATCACCATCCTGTGTGACCAAGAGTGCTCCCTAATTCACACTAGGTGTCCTCTTTGGGACATCCCCATCCTGTGTGACCAAGAGTGCTCCCTAATTCACACTAGGTGTCCTCTTTGGGGCATCACCATCCTGTGTGACCAAGAGTGAGTGCTCCCTAATTCACACTAGGTGTCCTCTGGGACAACCCGCTGAGACTGCCGGTGCCTGAAAAGCTGTGAGGGCTCCATGGCTGGGGCAGAACCCTGAGAAGTGAGGCTCGCGCCCCCACTAAACGCATCCACAGGGTAAGAAGGGACAATGCTAGAGCGACTGCTGGGAGACACAGCCAGAAGGAGGCTGCGGAGGAACTCCGGGAGGAAGGCAGGTTGTCGATGCTGTCTACAAGCCAGGTGCACGGCAGTCCACGCATCAGCGATGCAGCTACACAGCGCGCGGGTGAACACTGACACGCGTTGTTGGAGGGGAGAGAAAGCAAAGGCTTCTGCTTTGGGAGGTGGTGATGGGCTTCGCTTCTGCATTTGCATACAAAACCAGAACAAACCAGGGGCTCGGGGTGTAATTCTGACGAAAGCACGCCTTCCCTTCCCTCCCGAGAGGGCACCCGCCAGGCAAGCGTCCTGCCACCGAGCCGATCCTCGGGCCCTGCTCCGATTTCAAGGGCGCAGATGGACAAGTGAGCGCATGCAGTTGTTGCTCCGTGGGTTCACCTGGCACTGTGGACGGTTAGGGCCATCCTAGGGCAATGCAGGACTCTGAGGCAACCTCACAGCTGGCTGGCTGGCTTTCTTCCTTTTTGGCTTGTTTTTCGAGACAGGGTTTCACTGTGTAGCTTTGGAGCCTGTCCTGGCACTCGCTCTGCAGACCAGGCTGGCCTCAAACTCACAGAGATCCACCTGCCTCTCTGCCTCCAGGGTGCTGGGATTAAAGGCGTGCGCCACCAACGCCCGGGCAAAGCTGGCTTTCTAACTCATTGTACAAGTTCCCGCTCTCACTCTAAAACTCATTACGCTGATATATGTGCTGTGTGTGACACACACACACACACCGTGAAGGTCAGAGGACAGTTTGCAGGAGTCAGTTCTCTCCCTCCACCTTGTGGGTCCTGAGGATTGAACTCGGGTCCTCAGGCTTGGTGGCAAGCCCCCTTTACCTGCTGAGCCATCTCGCTGGCCCAGTTCTGGCTCTTCTGTCTTTAACCTAAGAAACGTAATTGCTGTTCTGCCTACAAGTTGTACATTCTGACCTGCACACAAACGCCTCGAATACACGCCGGGGGATCTCCCGCCGCTTGCCCGTGGCTCAGGAACTGCTTTTGCGTGGGTGCTTGCTAAGTTTCTGCTCAGCACAAAGACCTGCCCCCTCGCAGCCGTGACTGTCGCTCGTTTCCTAAGCAACTTCCCCCCCCCACACCACCTCTCAGCTCATCCATCGGTTTTGCTGGTTTTACCGCAACACGGTTTCCGGCCAGTGAAGGCGAGGCTACTTCTGCCTGAGATCAGGGAGCACTGCATACAGGGGCTCTTCCCACTACGACGGGAGATAGCGCTGCCTCTGGGAGAAGCAACGGCGCCAGCGACACCAACCTCCTGGCACGGGAACGCAGGCGTGAGGGTTGCAGCTGGAGACGAAGCCGTACTCCAGGAGCAGCCGCTGGTTGTCGTGGGGACCGTAGCAAATGAACACTTCCTGATGCTTCCTGCAGCGCGAGGCCGTCCTGATCTCATAGCGGCTGGTTTTCTCGTTGAACGCCGCCTTCACCTGCGGGGGGGCGTAAGACTTCTCTTTTTAGCCCACACTACAAGTTACCGCGTCAGCTGCTGTACGACGCAGTTTGAGATGCCTGGCGACAAAGCCGGCCACAGGTGGGGACTGATGCTCCTACACTTCAGCCTGTTCCCTCCTCCGTCTCGCCTTCCCCTGCGGGAGGGAGGACTCTCAGAGTGACCACACATCTGACTCGGCCACGAGTTTCAGTGTTTACAGTCCTCGGAGACGTAAAGGTCCTTTGCAGCTCAGCCCTCAGGCTCCCGTCATCCAGCTATGGCTGTGTTCTTCTGTGTTAGTCCATAAAATCGCTATAGTACAAGCCTCCAATAAAATCACAGTGAGGCTGAGTCCCTGTGTCCATTATGGTTCTGCCTTAATAACTGTTTTGTTATATATAATTTGACTATGTTGAAGTTAAAACCTTCCCTTTTGTTTAAACAGAAAAGAGGAGGTGACGGGAGATGTCCTTCTGCATATGTGTCTCTCTTATTGGTTGATGAATAAAACACTGATTGGCCGGGCAGGAAGATAGGTGAGGCTAGGAGACGAGAAGAGGAGAATTCTGGGAAGTTTGGGCAGAGGAGTCATCATGAGAGCCCGGGAAGAGAGGACTCCAGTCAGGAGTTCTCCGGTAAGAAAAGACCATGTAGAAATACATAGATTAGTAGTTATGGGTTAATAATAAAAAGAACTAGCCAATAAGAAGCCCAAGCCACAGGCCAACAGCTTTATAACTAATATAGAGTCCGTGTGTTTATTTTGGAACTCAAGGGCCCCGGGACCTACAGGCCAGAAAACTCGTGCTTACAAAACCAGCATCCTTTGACCTTTCACCTAACAGGGACTCACATGCTGGAGACTGGATAATGCCCAGGCTGGGGCCATCCCAGGGCCAAGAGCACAAGCAGGACCTCCCTGAGTCCTCCCACTGCCGTGTGGGGTGACAAGGTGACACTGATCTCTTCCTGGTGGCATGTCTCGGGGGACAGCAAAGGCACAGGACCCAGCCCGGTGTCCCCTAAACAGGTTTCAGGTGAGCTGACAGACCTCCTCCCCTCTGCCCTCCAAGCCTGGCCTTTCTCCCCGCATGTCATGCAAACCCGTGTGTCTCCAGTGTGCCAGTGGGGAAAGGGTTGAGGGAGAGGGCATTGTGACCATCACTAGTGGGGTTCTTCCATGAACCCCAGATTCCTCATCACACAGGTTCTCATCTGTTCCATAATCAGCCTTGCTCTGAGCACTGGGGCTTCAAAGAGGAACAACAGGAAACCGGAAAGCCTTGAGGCCATGGAGGAGGCTGATCCCCAGTCAGAACAAAGACACAGGTGCGGACAGCCACACCACCAAGTGTAAAGATGGGGCAGGGAGGAAGCCAGACCGCACCCAAGCCCTGGAGGGCCGGGAGCGAAGACTCTGCCTGGGTCAGTGAAAGGCCCAGGGGCTCAGCACAGGGCCCTGCAGGCCTGGAGAGCACTGCAGTCCAAAAGCAAAGGAGACTTTTGCTACAACGACATGGGGGGGGGGGCGGGAACGAAGAGCAGCGGAAGGGAGGCTGGCCTAACGCATACACCTGACACAGGTTACGCCTGCCTGCGCTGTTTCGTTCCTGACTCGACATGCTGGAGTTCTGTGACAACAGGGCTCGTGCCCGTGCCAGCGCCTCACCTGGACATGTGGGCTGTGGTTCAGCAGATCCAGGTACGGTGCGAGCGCGCACGTGTCGGGCTCTGCGGAAAGGCATTCCTGCCTCGTGGACCTCAGGTACACAGCTCTGGTGTTCACGGTGCACCAGGCCCACAGGAAGGCACTGTAGCTGAAAATGCCGCCCACAGGCTCCACAAACAGAGGCTGCAGGGTAGAGAAGAAGGCTCCGGAGGAGGCAAACAAGTCCCGCACGTGGGCTCTCTGTTCTTCCGCCTTCGCCTTTAAAGGCTCGGGCAGAAGAGCCACCACTCCCGGCTCCAAGCAGACCGGGCAGGTGTATGACTTGGGTAAAATGTCCAGGTAAGATTTCCAGGGGGACCGACCTCCTGCATGCCTTTCTGAGATTAAAAACGTGCACAGGGCCAGCAGAGGAGATGGAGGAGGCTTCCACCTTGCAAAGTGAAAAGACACATGGAAGGAATTAAAGTGTGGACTCCGCCACAGTTTGGTTTGCTTCAGAGGGAATATGCTCAAGCTGCCAACACTCCAGCCGAGACACAGGCATCTCTCCTACGACTGTGTCTCTCCAGTGCACACCCAACACGGTCTACGACCTCTCCCTCCACAGCACACCCAACACGGTCTATTTCCTCTTTCCCACCAATGCCATTTCCATAACTAATAGGTAAGATCAGCTTCACAAAAAAAAAAAATCTTGTATCTAGCCTGGTTGCAATCTCCACCATTGCTGCAAGTTCTACTGGACAGTGCTGACCGAGACAGAGGCTGTGTCTGATCACTACTATACACTTTGGGCTTTTGTTCCTAAACTTGGGAGTTCTAACACAAGTTAAGTAGTTGTGTTCTGAATGATAAGCCCCAATACACCGCCCCCCCTTTTTAAGACTCAGAAGGTTGCCTCAGTGGAAAATTCCCCCAAGGTCCCTTTCCCTAGACAGGGAACAAGGTTGAATTGAAAAGAACATCTTGTCCAGAGTGCTGATACAGGACACGGCAGGCTGTTAAGATAAGTTTAATCTTGACCTTGTGGTTTCTCCAGAAGGATGAGTTATGCCCGCGCTTCTTACAATACCCCTATTGCTTGCCCAGATCTGCACCTTCAGTGGCCCTGCTTTTTACAATACCCCTATTGCTTTGCTTGCCAAAAGTATGTATATAAAAAGAACACTGTCCTAGAGCCCAGTGCGGTCAGTTAGCTAAGGCTGCTGACACCTGTGCAAACAATAAACCTCTTGCGGTTTGCATTCAACTCTCTGGTTATTGAGCTCGGGACATCACCGGGGTATTCAGCCTGAAGCCTGATAACCTCAGGTCTTTCAGGAGTAGCTACTCACATATCAGCCCTTACGGCATAAACAGACTTGGCAATGGTATCATTCATTAAGTCCAGATTCCCATGTCATGTGATTAGAGCATCCTCCTGCTACGCAGGCCCATAAAGAATGGGGGGGGGGGGAGTATGACAATGTGCTGTCTTTGAACCCTTAAAATGAAGAGATCACTTCTGCTAAGGCTCTCACTCTCTCTGTCCTCAGGGTGCTCCAAAACCAAGGCTCGCCGCCATGTGCCCAGAACAAGGCTCTCAACCTACAGTGTCTGCTCTCCTTCATCCCTAACTAAGTCCAACTCCTCCCTAACGCCAAATCCTGCACTGCCTGCTCTCCTTCATCCCTAAGTCCATCTCCTCCCTAACGCCAAATCCTGCACTGCCTGCTCTCCTTCATCCCTAACTAAGTCCATCTCCTCCCTAACGCCAAATCCTGCACTGCCTGCTCTCCTTCATCCCTAACTGAACCCAACTCCTCCCTAACGCCAAATCTGTTCACAGCTAAAGAAGCCAAGCAGGTACAATAGGATGAACCAAGGCAGGGAAGCAGCAGCCGCAAGGCTTTTTCATCCTGGCACCATCCTATTTCACCTCCCAGTAGATAGGGAACGGGGTTCACACCCTCAACCCAGGCAGCCTTAGAGATACAGTCCCCCGTGGATTAAGACCAAGCCCAGAAGAGAGAAAACCTTTCCAATCACACCAGGTGCTCCTTGGCTAGACAAGAGCTGGGTCCTCGTGCTGCGCCGGCCATGGCAAACGTCTGCCAATGGCAGACACTGTCAAGGAACAGCACGGGCACCAGGTGTGTCACTTACTTCTTAATGTAGGGCCCTAAGGAGCTTCGAATCACAGTGTCCGTGGTGAGCAGACAGCTCTCGGGCAATGAAATAATCGTCTGTCCTTCCTTGCCAAAGAGAAAGTAGAGTTTAGGACACCTCGGCTTTGCAAACACTGAACCCCACCCATCACATATCAAAAGCCCTCCAGAGTGCAGACAATGCAGGTTTGCAAAGAGACAGGCACAGACTGTGTTAGGGCCAGCCATAGGATAGGTTTTAAAAATTAAGAACCTATGGGAAGCAAAACCTTTGCTTTACCAGGGCAATCAACGATAATGAGGTTGGCTTAGGAAGTAGCTGTGACTAACAAGAGACCAGCATCACTGAGATAAAATCTGGGGAGTGCTTCCTCAGCTCCTGGACATAGACGCTGTGGTCCAGCGGGGGACCGCGGCTGAACAAAAGGCTGGTAAATGTATGTCTTTCGCGTGGCAGCGGTTTGAAGGCATGAAGGGATCATGAAGAGCTGAGCTAGGCACTGTAAGATCCATGGGAGACAAGCAGGGAAGGTGCAGCCTCTGTTGCGATGGAAAACCCAGGACTGAAGAGGTCGCGAAGAGAAGTTGGGCTTTGGCAACATCAGAGGCCAGCAGAGGCCATTGGTGAAGGTATGGCCTCAACTTCAGTGGAGAAGACTCCAGTACACGGAGATGCCAGGGCCATGAAGTGACCACCGAGGACAGCTGCGGGTGTGGAGTGGGCTTGGCGTCAGCCTACGAGACAAGCTGCTATGGAAGGCAGCGCCCAGCAGGTCACGAGTGAGCCCCAGACGCCCGGCGGTGAGCTACGCCTTAGGGGATGCACTTCTGGGCTTTGATTGAGAATGGCTGTTCTCATGCCGTGGCTCTTCCCTTTGGGACTGAGAAATTATTTACTTTTTTTTTCTAAGTGCCGAGAATTTTGTTTATTGTAACAAACGTTTTCATGGCATTCGACAGAACTCGGAATTTCTCTGAAACAGATTCAAGTCCGTAAAACTAAATCAGCCGGAATAAAGCATTTTTAGAATTAAAAGAATTCAAACCACCAAAAGGAACACTTCATATAGTAACAAACAAAATATAAAAACAGAAGCCAACTAAGTAACAGATTAAAGGCGCTGCCTGGCCTGTATGGCTGACTAGTGTGGCTAGCTCTGTACTCTGATCCTCAGGCAAGCTTTGTTTGTTAGATCATAAACAAAATATCACCGCCAGTGTCTCTGTGTAGCTGGCCCTGACTGGCCAGAAACTTGCTATGTTGACCAGGCTGACCTTGAATTCAGAGATTCGCCTGCCTCTGCCTCCATAAACATGTGAGCCACCACGCCTGGCCTTGAAGCTCCCTGAATTTGCCATTACAAGCACTATCATCCCCACAGAAGCAGTGCTGAACTAAGAATGTTCCCAGGTGCTCGGAGCTCACGGGACGTGGTGTTCACCTCTGGCAGGCTGCTCCCTTCACCGGTGAGCCACGCGGGAGCATATTCTTGTGGTGGTTCTTCCTCGTACAAAGCAGCAGCCTCTTGTGAAGGAGCCAAGGTTAACACTTGGTTTCACAGCCTCTGCACTTGGAATGCTTTGGGGTGTCAGCATTTGCCAAGGGTAAGGAAAGCACAGCATTGGGACTGAGGCATGAGGTCCGTGCGCGAGGGGAGGTTCAGAAGAACTTGCTGCTCACAATCGCAAGCTGCCAGGCTCCTTGTCTTTGCCCGGGAGAGATGGCTGGAGAAGCCTTTGCTGCTTCTGCTCAGCCGCTGTGACCAAGGGCTGCCAGGTCTCCTGAAACAGCTGGATGGGCTGGCGGCAGACCGGGTATTTTCCAATATTGCTTTGTAGCATTTATATACCTCTGCAGTGTCTGTGTCTAAACAGCACACCAGGGAGATCAGACACTATCTGTCAAGGCTAATAGACATTCAAAGAGCTGCCTGAGTTAAATCTCACTTAAATTGCCCACTGCATCTGGAAAGCAGCTGCAGCTAATGAAATTCTGCATTACAGAACCCTTCGTAAAGGCCTGCACCTGATCAAGAGCTGGAGCGTTCCCTCCCAATTCAGTTAAGATCTTCAACAATGGCCAAAGAGCCTCGCTAGTTTGTCGTTAAGTCTTGAAGGGTCACGCTCCCTATTGTGACGTGGTGTGATGGCAGCAGCCCCAAGAGGAGGTGCTGTCACAGTCCCTGCAGGAGGCTGAGCTACACTGCACAGGCGCTTAGAGGTGGGGGACACAGCGGGCCATGACTCCCCCAGCTGAAGAGGTCAGGGAGGAGGAGGGTGGCCAGGCCCAGTGCCGGCTGTCAGGCGGCCTTGCTGTCCTGCTCCTCCAGATGTCCATCCATCCAGGCCTCTTACCACAGCGGCTGCTCGTCCAGCTTGGCGCCCAGTCCCCTCCAGTCTCTGCAGCTGCCTCAGCTTGCAGACCTACTTCGCTGTGGGGTACCAGAGTGTCACAGAGGATGAGGGCGGCCATCAGCTCCGGGTCCAGCCAAGACCCCTCAGGGTAAGAGCCACCGGAATCTAGGGATGCTATCTTTGTAGAGTCTTCACGCCCAGAAAAGAGGCTGAACACCTGGGCCAGAGTATCTTCACTCAAGGAGAAATCGTTCATGGAGGGGAGAGCAGCCACCGGGGGGAAGAGGGACAGCAGCGTGCCCGGCGGTGGTATTTTAACCAGACCTTGAACTCTTTCAGTGTTTGGCTTTTTTTCAAGACTGTGATAATCTGGATGTTACTCTACAGTCTGTACTGTGGTGTTAACACAGAGCTCTTGGAGAGAAACGGGGAGTTATGGTTTAACGGTGACATATTTTTATGTCAGGCTGACAAAGGGTTCAACTATACTGGTTAATTTTTGTCAACGTGAAAAAGTAGAGTTACATAGGACAGGAGACCTGAATGCAGAGATTGCTTGCTCTAGGCCGGCCTACAGACCCATCTGGGGAACACTTTCTTAATTAATGACTGATGTTCCAGGGCACATCCTACTGGGGGTGATGCCGCCCCGGAGCAAGTGGTCCTGTATTGTGCAAGACAGCAGGCTGAGCAAGCCATGAAAAGCAAGACAGGAAGCAGCATCCCCCGCCCCCCCACCCCACCCCACCCCACCCCACCCCCGTGCTCTCCGCCTCAGCGCCTGCCTTCAGGGTCCAGCCAAGAGCCCCTACCCTGACTTCCCTCTGGGGTGGACTATTAACTCATTCTTCTTCAAGCTACTTTTGGTCAGTGTTTTACCAAAATAGGAAAAAAAAAACTTGAGCAGACTCATTATAATATATATATGTATATATATATATATATATATATATATATATATATATATACACGCATGTACATAATACATCAAAGATACATCTCACTGCATATAACATACATCTCTATTTTCAAACAGTTTCATATAGACACACATTTCAAAGTGCATGTGGCCAAGTGTCATGACACACACCTGTAACTCCAACAGAAAAATGGAATGTTTGAGGCTAGCCTGAGTTACACGCTGAATTCCAAACAGAAGCTGCAGGACTGAGCCGCGCTGTGGGAGGGGTCCAAGGCCTACTGCCAGCATGTCCCTGCTCTCCGTCACAGCACACATCCTGGACGAGGGCCGTCACCACTGCCCACCACAGACACCATCTAATGTGGCAGACGTCGCGCCCTACCCTGGCTATCTCCTGACTCCTAAGGGTTGCGCTGAGGGGGCACATGGGCAGGGAAAAGACAGTGTACCCTCATGCCTTTGCAGCCCCCGGGGCTGGACCATCCTTAAAAGGAGGGGCAGGAAGCTGCACTCCTGTCTTGTTCCCTCCTATAAGTCAAACGCAGAGAGGCTTCGGGAACGACGAGGAGATGGAAGGACTCAGGTCCTCTGAGAACAGATCATCTGTCCCCTTTACATTTGTTTAAGTGGCAAACCAATCTCACGGCTGTGTCGGCAGAAGGACTTCAATGTCTGTCTTTACCCAGCAAACCCAAGCTTCCTTGGCATAACCCTAACCAAATATATCCATTTGGTAAGTAAGGAAATGGCTATACAGGTGAAGCACACTTGATTCACTTGATGTGAGCAAAGCATGCGTGCTCTCACACACACATGTGCACACACTCTCATGCACGTGCATGCACACACTCATGCACACACACTCATACATGTGCACACACTCGTGCACATGCACACTCATGCACAACTCATGCACACGCACGCACACACAGCACACGTGCACACTCATGCATGCACACACACTCATGCACACGCGCACACACACACAGCACACGTGCACACTCATGCATGCACACACACTCATGCACACGCGCACACACACACAGCACATGTGCACACACTCATGCATGCACGCACACAGCAGGATCTATCTTGAGTCTCAAGGATAAAACAGAAGTTCTCACCTGCAGTGATGTTTTGCTCATCAGCCCTCTTCCTGTTCCTGGAAGAACGAAAACACGGAGCGGTAAATCCTACTGTATCTTGGAGATCTTGTGCGCCCCTTTAAGGGCTAAAAGATGCCACAACACTGCAATACCGCGGGCGGGTCTCCTGGCTTTCCCTCCCAGGAAGATGGGATCGGGAAGCTGTTCTGGACCTCTCTGTGGGTTTGCATTCCTTCAACAGCAAAGCTGGGCTCTGGGTCAAGATCTAAGGAACTCGCCACAGAGACAACGCTGGCACTTTTCTCAGGAAGAGATGGTAGAGAACTCCATGTGACACAACCTAAGGAAGTGACTTACTGGCCAGTCTTGGCTGACAAGTTAAGTGTCCTGTCCCTGACTGACAACAGACCTGGACAGAACACGGTTCTGTGAATGTTGTCAGAAACAAAATGGAGGCATTTGGGTCAGACCCTGACATAGGAAGCCAAGGACACTCAAAGGGAGACACTTCATACGTCACTGTCTTCCAGTAGCAAAACATTCTGCTAAACTACAGCTTTACATAAACAGTCATGGAAGGACGCCTACCTGGCAGTCAAATGTCCCAAAGTGGTTTCCAAGCTACTTTGTAACCCTTCCATTTTACCTTTAAACCTTTTGCCTCCCTGGATGCACCCACAGCTCACTATAACCTGAAAGTAACAATTAACCTCTGCGTTGATTTTTAGACTCCAGAGTCACCATGTGTAGCTGGCCCACAGGGAGTACCCTCATGTGTATCTCTCTCAGGTGGGGACCCACGTGGGAAATCATTTACCAGCGAGATATTTTAGTTAATTCATCCCCGTTAGGCTAACTAGGGCCGGAGGACAAGTCCAACGCTTTAGCCCTGGGATCACATGCAGCAGGCCCCGTGGCTTCTGAAGCACTCCTGTGGTGAGGAACTAGAGGTCCTATTAGCAAAACTGTCCCTGCCACAGCAGACCCAGGTCCTTCTGAAGCACACGCCAGTCTGCTCTGGAGTTGCCCTCCACCCACGTCCACAGGACACTGCCCAACTTCTGAGAGACTCGTTCCAGACCAATGTCAATCTGGCCTCCACAAGGAGCTTTCAAATTCCAGAGGAGAACGTTAACCTGCCTCCGTTCCAGTAACTGTGGAAGCCCGCAGAGCTGCGCCTCCAACACGAGAGGAACGGATCCAAACTGCCGAAGGGACAGTGTTTGCTGAGGTCACACCGTAATACGCAACAAGTACCTCAAGTGGTTTCCTTGAGAAAACTACTCACCTCCTGAGCCTCAGACAGCCCCATTAGCATGCATGCCCCCCTCCCATTCCTAGCAAACCTCAAGGGAAAAGGTTGAGCTCGCCTCTGCTCAGTACACAATGCCATGCCTCTGAAGACTCAGCCCAGGTCTTTCCTTCAGGTGAGGCTCCAGGGACATCCCAACTTCTAACTTGATGGCGTCAGCTTTTTTCGCTTCAAGGCTGATCACTTTGTGCCGGCTAACCAACGAGGAAGAGCATCCCGGGAGAGGCAAATTCTCCTCCCAGTTGTCATTCGTCCTTTGACTAGGAGTGGGACCCACAACATGGTCCCCCTTCCACACAGCCGTGCCCGCTGATACTGGCATTGTCCGGGATCGTGCATGCAGTCATTTCCAGGAGACACTGCTTCACAGCAGACTTCATGGCATTCTGGCTCTTACACTCCTGCCTCTTCAGAGGTCTTGCCCGAGCCCCAGATGCAGACGTTGCCGTGACGCGGATGTGTCTGCTGGGACGGGGCTCCCCTGATCTGCTGATCTCTGCCCTGTGTCCAGTCACGGTTCTCTGTGACTGTCTGCTGTAAAGAGAGGCTTCCTCCAGGGCGGGCGGCAGCTACCCTTACATCTGAGGATTTGGAGGCAGCAACCACAGTTGAGAGGAACACACACTGTTTGTTCACTTTTCTGGGCCTGGGTTACCTCATTCAGTATGATCTCTTCCAGATCCATCCATTCACCTGAAGTTCCGTGGCTTCGTTTTCCTGTACACCTGCATAGAATCCCGTTGAGAACAGACCTCATTTCCACCACCACTCATCTGTTGAAGGGCATTTAGGTTGTTTCCATTTCCTGGCTGTTGTGAACAGAGCAGCAATGAACGTGGCTGGTATCTGCTGAGTAAGGCCTTTGGGCATATGCCAAGGATTGGCTCTAGCTCGGTCACATGGTAGATTCTGGTTTTAGGTTCTTTTTTTGAGGGTTCTCCACAGGGATATCCAGAGTAGACGGTCGACTCGCCTTCCTACCGGCAGTGAACGAGAGAATCTATTTCTACACAACCTCACCAGTACTTGTTGCCAGGGGTTTTGTTGACGTCAGCCATTCTGACTGGGGTGAGATGACGTCCCCAAGCTCTCCAGTTGGGTTTCCCCCGAGGGCTAAGGAAGACAAACACTATCTGAGGAGTGCTTACGGCCCCTCAGGGTCAGGCAGCTCTGCTCCTGTCAGCTGCGTGAGCTCTTTAAAGACTAGTCAAATGCTGTCCTCCAGGAGTGCACAAGACTTCACGTCTTTCAAGTGGTGTCCTTGTTCTGCATCCGTTTTACCCTTCTTTTCTTTTTTCTTTTTTCTTTTTCTTTTTCTTTTTTTTTTTGAGACAAGGTCTCATTGTACAGCCGGGGGCTTGCCTGGATCTCACCATGTAGCCCGGGCCCGCCTCAAACTCAGAGACCGGCCTGCCCCCGCCTCCTGAGTGCTGGGATGAAAGGCTTGTGCCTCCACGCCTGGCCTCACGGCTTCATCTTACTCTTATTATTCTCCTTCTTCAATTGTAATTTTCCCCTTATCTGCCACTCTTTTCCATAGAAAGGTAAGGCACAAACAGTGAAGCCCAAACCACAGATGTGTCTCCAGAAATGACACAGTCACTGCCGGAACCAGCCCCTGACCCCACCCGGCCCCACCCGGCCCCACCCCAGCCCCGCCCAGGCCTCCCACATGACTCTCACCTGGAAAGCGGGCGGGTACTAAGCCTGTGTCTTCAAACTGTCTATCTTTCAGCCACTTTCTCAGCTCTATGAATTCAGGTCGGTGGCTCTCGTTCACTGTCAGGAGAGGGGGAGCACACCAGAGTTAGCATCGCTGCGTCAGGGGGCCAGCACTGCGAAGGTATGCACTGATGGAGGATATCACACGCGCAGACGGTGAGGGGAGCAAACCTCACTGAGAATGAACATGACGCGTGCTGAGCGAGCGGGAAAGCCATTTGCTGCTGCGTGGTTATTTCAGTGCACGCACAGGACCGTTGGATAGAATCTAACACCAGTCTGGTGAAGACAGAAGGAAGTGTCCATACCCAGACAAGTAACATATTGACAAAAAACACTGGGGGACGAGGGACCGGGCAGGGGCTGCAGCCCTGGGCGGCGGGGCGGGGTGGAGCAGGGCGGGGCGGGGGGGGAGGGTAGAGTGTCTGCCTCACATTCGCAGTCCTGTGTCCCGTTCCCGGCACGGCACAGCCACCCAGCTGCCACGGTAACAGTGAGATGTGACAAGTCTTTCTCTGTCCCACCAGCCGGGCCCCAAGTAACGGCATGGAGACTTGTTATTCATTAGGAAAGCTTGGCCTATAGCTTAGGCTTGCTCCTAGTCAGCTCCTATAACATGAATTATTAGCCCATTTCTGTCAGCTGACATTTACCATGTAGCTTTCTACCTTCCTTTCATTCTGTATGTCCGACTCCCTCCGTGTCTCCGTGGCCTCTTCCCTGCACCCCCATCATCCCCTCCTACTTCCTGTCTCTGCCCGGAAGTCCCGCCTATACCTCCTGCCAAGCTATTGGCTGTTCAGCTCTTATTAAACCAATCACAGCAACGTATCTTCGCAGTGTACAAATATCCCACAACAGCGGCCCCTAAGTGGCCTCCTCTAAGATCCACAACAGAGAAGGATAGACACCGCTCACTTGTCCTCAAAAATATAAAAGCTATTTAACCAGTGTAATTGGGAAAAATACAATCAAACTGAGGGAAAAAAAAACCAAAATTTTCAGAACACATAAGCATAACATGGAATATCTAAGAAAATTTTCAAAACAACAAATGAGTTTAGCGAAGTTGTAAGATACAAATTAACACATGAAAAATTAATTGTATTCCCATGCACTAGTAACCAAAAGTTCAAATTCCAAAAATGCTACTAAAATACAATGTTTCTGTTGTTTTTTGAGACAGGGTTTCTCTGTGTGGCCCAGGCTGTCCTGGAACTCACTCTGTAGAACATGCCTTCTGACCAAGCTGTAGTCTGCCTGTACACTGCCACACCCCCGGCCTTGATGACGACGGACTGGACCTCTGAACAGTAAGCTGCCACCTCTGTGAAATGTTTTCCTTTATAAGAGCTGCTGTGGTGGTGGCGTCTCTTCACGGCAATGGAAACCCTGACAGAGACAGAAGTCAGTGGGGGGGGGAGACTGGGGTATCGCTGCAGAAGGCCTGCCCATGTTCTGGTTTGGAGGAACCTGGCTGGACTTGGGTGCTCTGGGTAAGGAAAGCAGTGGGGTGATTTCAGCGCTGCTTAGTGGACCACAGAAGCACAGAGGACAGCGGTGCCGAGAGCTATTTGGACCATTCAAGAGATTTCAGAGAACTTTGGTACCCTGCCTAGGGTGCGTTGTTGTGATATTTTGGTAAAGAATGTGGCTGCCTTTTGCCCTTGTCTGAAGAGTCTGCCCGAGAGGCTAAAGTGAAGAGTCCCGGACTAATTCTATTAGCAGAGGAAATCTCAAAACAGCCTCGCATAGCCTCTGGTGTGTGATTATTAGTGGTAACTCTAATGCAGATTTATACTGCAATAATGTAAAATCTTAGGAGAAAAGGAACTGCGTGAAGAGCTGTGTTCTAGGAGATAACAAATGAAGAAATAGAATACAGGGAGTGGTGACCTCTTCCAACTGTGAAAAGAAACTAAGGAAAAGCTTAAAGCTGGGTGTGGTGGTCTACACCTTTAATCCCAGCACTCTGAAGGCAGAGGCTGGCGGATTTCTGAGTTTGCAGCCAGTCTGCTCTAGAGATCCAGTTTCAGGACAGCCAAGCTTAGGTGGTGGAGGACAGAAAGATGGTGGAGGACAGAAAGACGGTGAAGATGTAACTGAATGAAGGGGCCTGTTCCAGCTCCAGCAAACAGCAGAACTTGGCAGCTTTGGCCACGTGGTTCTGGAGCTAAGGACAGAAAGAAAGGGGCTGTGGAATTTGCCTCCATAACCAAGAAAAGCCACTGAGGCCAAACACCTGTCAGTGGTGTCCCTAAGTGGAGGCCTAGAGAGGCCATTGTGTGAAGCTGTGAAGTTGGAGCCCCGGTTGCCTTGGAGACCACAGGATGTTAGAGATGCCAGAGCCATGGGATACCTGCCGAAGAGAGCTGCTAAGAGAGAGTGGAACCAGGGGAGAGAGAGAGAGAGAGAGAGAGAGAGAGAGAGAGACAGAGAGAGAGAGAGAGAGAGAGAGAGAGAGAGAGACAGAGACAGAGACAGAGAGAGAGACAGAGAGACAGAGAGACAGAGAGACAGAGAGAGACAGAGAGAAGCTGCAGTCAACAAAGCTGAAAGGAGCTGGAGATCTGAAGAGTGTTTGACATCGGACGTGGAGATGCAGACTTTGGAGTTCACCTGGCTCGTTTTTGGTCTTGCTTTGGTCCAGTGTTTCCTCACTATGCTCCCTTCCCTATGTTTTGGACCTGTAATGTGATCTGTTTTCTTGATTTTGATTTTATAGGGGATTACAGCTAAGAGGTCACATGAATTTCAGAAGAGACTTTAAACTTTGGACTTTTAAACATTGCTGAGACTCTTGTGCCCAAATTACAAAGTCCCCAGAGACCACCAGGAAGACAGACCCACTAAACTGCAAAAGCAAGGTTTAATGATTGTTCATCCACCCATGACAGGGACCCCGTCTGTCTAGCTGTTGAAGCAGCCCCCAGAGGCAGTGAAGTTCCATGTCTTCTGCTAGGTTTTTTTGTTTTGTTTTGTTTTTTTGTTTTTGTTTTTTTGTTTTTTTTTTTTTTTGGTTTTACGAGACAGGGTTTCTCTGTATTGTTTTGGAGGCTGTCGGTCTAGCCTGGACTCGAACTCACAGAGATCCGCCTGCCTCTGCCTCCTGAGTGCTGGAATTAAAGGCGTGAGCCAACGCCTGGCTTAAAATACCAATTTAATATAAAAGGAAACACTAAAGGAGGAACAGAGTAACAAAAAGCAGACACTAGACTCAGAGAAGACAAAATGGAACCAGGCTGGTTAAGGACCAGACCAAAGTAAGTCACACCATCCACTGGAGATGCTCTGTATCCAGAGAGCGACCAGAGCAAAAGGACAGACAAGCAGAAACCCAGGGGAGAGCCAGGGAGAAAAAAGTAGAAATGATGAGGAGAACACATTCATCCTCTCACTGGTGTGAGGACGCCATTGAGACGTGTTCTTTACACAATGTTCTCTTTGAACAGTGTTCTGAGGAACACTGTGTGGGCAGCCCTGCTCCACGAAGGCCTTCCTTCTTCCCAGCCCTGTACCTCCTCTTGAGTCAGAGCTTCGCCTCTGCCGTCTGACTCTCCCTGTCCTTCCTCTTCGCTGCTGCATACTGAAACCAGAGCCTGCGTCGTGCTCAACCTAAAATAAGGAGAGTGGCAGCCTTAGTCTCTAGTCGATGATCATTAAAGACCGTGGTACCTTTGATTATACAGACACATATTTTAGTGAATGTTCTCATTTTTTTAAATCCCTTTCCTAAAAGTTTTGTACACCAAAACTTTTTACTAAGTGCCAAACCAGGGTCCCTGCAGTAACAAATACCCATAATGCAATGGTCCTCAACCTGTGGGCCACGACCCCACAGAGGGCCTATGTCCTACGTCCTCTACATCAGATGCTTACAGTACAATCCATATCAGTAGCAAAAAGAGTCATGATGTAGCAGTGAGATAATTTTTGGGTGGGGGTCACCGCTGCATGAGGAACAGGGGCAGCAGCCTTACGAAGGTTGAGAACCACTGCTCTAAAGAGAGGAAACAATGCCATTTGGAGGCTTTACTGACTAAATTCTCACAGCTGATCTCCTAGACATTTGGTGACTTTCACAGTTCTGCGACAATCAACATTTAACCACGGTGCCATGTAACAGTTCTTAAGAACACATGGGGGCTGGAGACACAGTTCAGTGCTTAGGAGCAAAGCACACATGCAGTGCACAGATGAATATGACAGCAAAACATCGATACACATAAATAATAAACACAAAGAAACACAAAAGAATAAACAGTTATATCGGCAGCAGTCTTAGAAAAATGAATAAATAAACCCCCATCAGTGTAAACAGGGTTTTTAAGACACTAGGATCTAGACATCAATATAATTAAATTAGAAAGAAAATGGAAACCAACACATCGCACAAGGCAGACATGACCAGACGACAAAAGATGACTACTGCTTTTCTACATTAGTCTCTCAAAAGCCGAAACGGGAAAAAAATCCAGGGAACACAGGCAACAGAGTGGGGGACCAAATGTAGGAATTAACAGAAATAAATGCAAGCACTTTTGGAAGATGTACGCTAAGATGTGAAACCGAGCAAGAAATGGTGAGAAAAAAAAAAGTGAGGTTGAAGAAAATTCTAAATTGGAAGAACCCCCTGGGGTTGCGGGGGAACGGGTGGAGAGATGTCTCGGTGGTTAAGAGCCCTTGCTGCTCCTGCAGAAGAGCAGGGTTCGGTCCCTGGTGCCCATGTGTAACTCCAGTCCCAGGTGAGGTGATGTCCTCTCTTGGCCTCCCTATGCACTGCTCGCACATGGTACACAGATCGGTGTGGGTAAAACACCTCTGTACATAAGATACACTAGACCCCTTTGGGGGCTGCCTCTGAGCAAAAAGAGCGGGATGACCCCACAACAAAACGACCTGAAAGCATTCTCAAGTGAGCTTTTTCTCCCCTGCACCGCAACAGCCGGATACCACAGTGACGTAACTTCGGCAATACATGCATGTCTGGCATGCACTATACCAACGGAAATGATTTTAAAATCAACTACTTAAAAGGAAGACAAGAAATGCATAAACGGACCTCCAGCTAAGCCGCCCTGGCTGGCAGCCTTAGTAATCTACGTGGGCGGGAACACTTGTTCTTACCAGTCTGGAGCCGTCCGGAGCGCAGATGTGGGCGCACACGGAAGTGCAGTCCCACCGCAGCCGGGTCCCCGCTGCTTCCCACCAGGACCCTTCGCGGCCTGCGCCTGCGCAGTGTTCCGGCCTGCCCCGACTTCCGGTCGCCGAGAGTTTGCCGGCAGGGAGGGGAAATGGGGGTCGCGATCCGCGGAGAACTCGGGGAAGGCCAGCTGGAACCCCGCTTCCGCGGCGCCAGGCGGCACCGAGGCAGCCCGGGAGTCCTCCGCTCACGCCGGGAGCCGGCGCGTGGCGGCCGCGGAGACGCAGACCCCGGGCCGAGCGGAGGAGGAAGCGGATGCGGCGCGCCGCCGCCACCGTGCGCCCGTGCCGCGCGCATGCGCGGTTGCCCGCGGCGGCACCACTATCCCCGCTCCTGCGCTCGCAGGCTCGCACACCTGCAGATCTGGCTGCCCGCCCCGCATTCCAGAGCCAGCCGGAAGTCTTCCTCGCCTTGTCCTTTCCTCCTGCCCCCTCCACCAGGGGGGCTTACCTGGTTCCCGCCTTACCCTGCCCTCCGATTGCCAGGAGCACAGATTACCACTCCGCCCAGCACCGTTTCCCCACCCAGCCCCCGTCCACCCTGGGTATCCTTTCCTCTGGTCCCAAGACTGTTACTGCAGTTGTAACAAAGTATAAGGAATCAAAGTAAACAATAAGCACTCAGGGGTTTGTTGCTGTCCTCTAATTATTTCTTTTCCTCCATTTCTTTAAGGGAATTTTTCATTTCCCCTTTAAGGGCCTCAATCATCCTCATAAAGTTAGTTTTAGTTAGTTTTAGGTCATTTTCTTCTACTTCATCTGTGTTGGGATGTTCCGGTCCTGCTGTGGTAGCACCACAAGTTTCTAGTGGTGCCGTATTGCTCTTTGTATAGTCGAGAGTGTTCTTACCTTGTTGTCTACGAATCTCTTCCTCCAATCAATAGAGGTGGGGCTTGTGCTTCAGGGGTCCTCTCTTTCTCTAATTGGTATAGTTGGGGGCCGTGGCTCCCTTGACGGCTCCTTCAGACACAAACAGAGCAGGGCTTCCAGTGAACGCTCCTCCTGGTGGAAGTGTACCCAATGCTCAGGTGGTCACTGCTTGACATGCAGGTGAGTCTACAGCTCTGGTGGACGCTCCTCCCATTGGAGGTGTGGGTGGGGCTGAGGGTCCCGTGGTCCGTGTAGTACCATGGTATCTCCAACCCAGAAATGGCAGTGGTTGTGGTGCTCTTTCCCAAAGGATCTTTTTGCTATAGTTTCTGGAAGCTACTGCTGGAAATCACTGCTGTCCCTTCACCCAGTGATCAGTCCTCCCTCCAGGGCCTGACGCCGAGGCCTCCCTCTGACGCTGCTCCCAGATCTGAGGCTCATGGCACCCTTGATGCTGCCCTCGGCCTGAGGCTCTGGCCTCCCTCAGACTCTGCTCTGGGCATGAAGTTAGAGCCTACCTGTGACACTTAGGCCCAGGGCACCCTTGACTCCGCTCTGGGCCTGAAGCTTGGGCCTCCCTCTGATGCTGCTGCCAAGCTCTGACACTGCTCCAAGATTCCTAGGCTAACTTAAGAATCCTGTTCTGTGCATGTCAATCTCAGATGTGTTGTGTTGTGTGTGATATGTGTGGTATGGTGTGTGTGTGGTGTGGTGTGTATGGGTGGAATGTGTGAGTGTGTACTTGCTGCAGTAGGTGTTACTGGTCTGTGGTGGTGTGTAGGATTGGCATGTGGTGTGCTGTGTGTGTCTATGTGTACATGTATGTGTGTGGTATACTATGTGCAGTGTGTCAGGGTATGAGGTGTAGTATATGTATGTGTGTTTGGGGTGGTGTTTATGTGGTTTGTGTGTCATTTGTGGGTGTGTGATGTGGATGTATCATGTCCATGTGGTATATGTGTGGTGTGTGTGTAGTGTCCATGTATGTGGTGTGTTTACAGTATTGCTAGGGGTTATGGTGTGTGTCGGTGGTGTGTATGTGTGTGTGTGGTGTGGGATGTTTGTGGAGTCTCTGAGTGGTGCACTGCACACATCTGTGGATGGTGTGTGTGTTATCATGTATGTGTGTCTGTGGACTGCAGTGAGTGTGAAGGTGTGTGTGTTCAGGTGTGAGGGCATTTGTGTGCACATGTGTGTTTGCACCCATGCGCTTGCCTGACCAAAGTGTGGGAGCCGACAACTTTCCTTCTGGAGTCTACTCTGACTTCTAAGTTCAGCTTGCTTGCTCCAGTTCCTTGAGAGCTGTGAGAATGTTCTGAATACGCTCGTGAGGCAGAACAACGTATCTAGTAACGATGCAGGCTGACGATGCAGCCAGAAGTACAGTAGGGAAGAAAAATGAAACCTCAGGCTGCTAGCTGGAGGCGCCTGCAGAGGCAGCCAGACTGTGGGTTCCTGGACTGAGGACAGGAGTAGGCGGTGGCCAACTGGCTTGCTGTGCCTGGTTCTGCCTTCTGCCTTTAGTGTGTGTGTGAGCAGGTTCTGGAACAAACTCACTGCTGTTCGTGTGCTGAGAGGCATCTACTGACAATCCTCCCAACTCTGTCTGGGGTCTTTGTCATCTTTGTAAGCCCCCTGTTTCAGGATACCTGGCTGACTCTTTGGAGGAGGCTCTCACACTGAACACCACTGCACACAGGCAGAGCAGTCACAACGACTTCTTGGAATGACTTCCTTCCTCCCACCTCACATGGGCTCCTGGATTGAACTCAGGTTGCTGGGTTCTCCAGGCTCCTGCCCTCAGCTGCTGAGACACACACCCATGCAGTCCTTTGCCTGATTAGTAAGGCTTGGTAAATTCTGAACTAGAAGCCTGGCTTAGACTGGCAGTTTACATGCAATCCATACAGAACAGCAAAATCCATTGTCATGGGAAGTTAACAAGAGCATCCGAGGTCCAACCTAAATGCTCTCCCAAGGTCCAGGCTAGGGGCTTTTCCAGGCTGGGTTTTTCTAGGAGTCTTAGGGCAAGAGGGAAATAAATCAACGCACACACGCGTTCCTCTCATGGCCCATTATTCTTCAAAGATGGCGGCTTCCCAAAAAGTTCTCTCTCAAAAGCTCTCTGTAAGATTTCTCTCTAAAAGCTGTCTCCTCAAAAGTTCTTTCTCTAATACCTCTCTGTAAGATTTCTCTCCAAAAGTTCTAAGACGATTCTCAACAATTCTAAAAAGTCTCCAAAATTTCTGTCTCCTAAAAGTTCCACTGAGGTCTCTTCCATCCCACAAGGCTTCTACTTTTTCCTCCCACAGGCACATCTAACAATTCTCTGAGAATAGGGCTTGATGGTCTTTCATGCCAAGGTAGGCCAGTAAGATATTGAACAAAGAAAATACCTGGTGTCCCTCCACTGGACATGACTTGCAAAACCTCCTGGCAAAGGTAATTGATGGGGGAAGGGGAACATGACCTGCACCACACTGTTAATTGATTGAGGGGGGCTTCTCTGAGCTATGTCAAAGGGATAAACTAAGGCTAAGCAGTGCGAAGTTGGGGGCTGCAGCTCTTACTGCTGATGTCCTGGTGAGAGGGAATTCCTTTCTCTGGGGACTGGGAGAGAATACAGAGCATGCAGTATATAGTCTACATATAGTCAAATTCATAGTAACAGACTGGAGTTGATATATAGAATATTAACATCTACTGCAAAAAAATGATAAATGCTTCTTACACCACGTTTCATTTCTTTTTTCTATTGTGTGTGTGTGGGTTTTTTTTTTTTTTGGTTTTGGTTTTTTTTTTTTTTGGTTTTTTGAGACACAGTTTCTCTGTATTGTTTTGGAGGCTATCCTGAAACTCAATCTGTAGACCAGACTGGCATAGAACTCCAGATATCCGCCTGCCCCTGCGTCCTGAGTGCTGGGATTAAAGGCGTGCCCCAACAATGCCCGGCCACCATGTTTCATTTCTGATTCATATATTTCACTGTATACCCATTACAACCACCCTCATGTATATTGTGGTCAGTGCAACTCAAATTTAAATTTAATTTAATTGGCCACATGTGGCTATTAGCACCCTACTAAACTGTAAGGAAATGAAACTTGGCCTTCAGATCCCTATTTCCAGAATGTTAGAAAGCAGTGAAGATTTCTTTCCCTGTCCTGGACCAACTTTGTGAGCATAGATCATCCTGCAAACCAGAAAGGAAAGTGAGGTGTGCGTCCAGGTGCTGTTTTGAGCTCAAAAGAGCAGATTCCCTGATGGCCCTCACCTCTGTACAGCTCAGTGCTCACATCCCAGTAAGACAAAGCATTGGAAGTTAGGAAAGAAACACCCCATGCGGGTAGTAAGGAATGCTCCCTGCCAAGGATTAACCAACAGCATTGCTTTTCACCCTGAGTGGGAAACTCACCAGGAATTTCCATTCCTCATCCTTCTCACCAGTTCATCCTACAACTCTAGTTGCTACAACTTAAGGACAGTACGCTATATCTCTAAACACCAGTAAGACTGTGTTCAAAGATCCAATCTGCAACTTGGGGAGGGAATACCGCACAAAATTCATACAAGCACAGAGGAATATTCTGTGGCAGGGGCAAGGCAAATGGCAGATTGCCGGGTGGACAGCTGCAGCAGCCTCTCTGCAGACTTCCCCTGCAGTCTTGCCTGGCTGCTGGCTTCCAGAACTCCTTGAGGAAAAAGCCAGGGAAGCCCATGAGCTGACCCAGGCATTTCCGTGGCTGAATTTCAACTGCACAACACACCCTGCCTGCTCTGAGCTAGCAAATGACCTGGCCTGTTTCTTTCATTGACAAGACCTATAAAGCTAACTCTGATACTTTGAAGGAGAGTCACCACTACATAAATATACAACAACAAGAAGACAGTTACAGAGAGTGTAAAACAGGCAAGAATTATTACCTTTTGCCTACATGCCACGCCCTCCTAAGGCGGGGCGGGAGGGACGGAATTGATAGGCTAGCATATTTGCACCTATGCCAGAACCAAACACAGCTGTCCTTAGACGAAAACATGTTCACAGTGGCTCTAGTGCTACCTTCTGCTTTAGACTGTACCGTGCTCTCCCACCGCTTCCCTACACACTCCCAGCCATGTCGTCTAGCACTCGCGTTGCGCTGGTGACCGGGGCCAACAAGGGCATCGGCTTTGCCATCACCCGTGACCTGTGTCGCAAGTTCTCGGGGGACGTGGTGCTCACCGCGCGGAACGAGGCGCGGGGCAAGGCTGCTGTGCAGCAGCTGCAGGCGGAGGGCCTGAGTCCCCGCTTCCACCAGCTGGACATCGACGACCCGCAGAGCATCCTCGCCCTGCGCGACTTTCTGCTCAAGGAGTATGGGGGACTGGACGTGCTCATCAACAACGCGGGCATCGCCTTCAAGAGTAAGACAGGGGTTGTGGAGAGGGGAGGCGCCTTTCCCAGAGCCTGGTGCCAGGCTGGGCTCCCCCTCTCTGGGGAGCATTACTAGGACAGGGGCTCTGTGACATGGGAGTCTAGAACAGGTCCCCTGGCAGACACAGGACAGGTTGGGGGCTGCAGAGAGTCCCTGGTGCTTGTGAATCCAGAACTTGGACAAGTTCCCATCATTCCCAGGTTTCCCTCACCCAGCCGTGGAGTCATTGGCCTTGGGGATATTTGAGTGGAACCCTCAGCTCATGAAGACATAAATAAGAATTTCTGGGGAAAGAAAGAGCAGAGCGGGAAACAGGTGTTACATGCAGATCCTGATGCACGGGCCTCCCTCAGCCTCCCCCAGTGGCGCAGTCTTTCAGAATCAAGAGAACATTATCAGACTGACAGTGGGTTGGTGCTCTCACTGATCGCTAGGAAGTGCATTTCTAACCCACTCAATCCATTCTCTTTCTGCCCTGGAAGATGCTGACCCAACTCCCTTCCACATTCAAGCAGAAGTGACAATGAAAACCAACTTTTTTGGTACCCAACAAGTCTGCACAGAGCTACTCCCTCTAATAAAACCCCAAGGTGAGTCTGGTGTCCAGGCGCTCCTCTGCCTCTCTGCCACAGGGAGGTGTGGGTCTGCTCTTCTGGTCACAATTGTTTTGTGGGCACTGATGCTCTCTGTGCCTGTCTGACTCCTCTCTAACCATCCCCCCTGCTTCCAAGTCTGTTTGTTCCACACCCTCACAACTGAAGGGCTTTAAGGATTCCATTCCTCCCTAAAACATAGTGCACAGCACCGGGCCCCCTGCTGGTCACAATGCCCTGTCCCCACAAGGCCTCAGATTGTGCCCACTGAGTGCTTCCCTCAGCTCAGCTGCCACCACGGCACAGTGCCCACCCTCCCAGGAGGCCTCCCTTCATGAGCATGCTCCTTTGCCTCATTTCTGTCTACACAACTCCTCCAGTCCCAAAGATCCTTCAGGAGAGAGTCCAAGCCTTTGGCAAGGTTCAGAACGCTCTATAATGTCACCTGCCACTCCTCCAGACTCATGATAACTCTCCTTCAACATGTGCATGTACTGCAAAATAAACTGTGACATCACTTCCATCATGACCTGCTAACACCCCAAGCCATTTGGATAGGGTGTGAACCACTTCTTACTCCATACACACCAGCAAAGACAGGCCAGCCACTGTAGCAATGTGACCTTCTGGTTTAGTCTTGAGTATATCTCCCCTGATCTCATGTGCTTCCTCCTGTCTGGTCTCTGGATCTCTAGAGCATCTAAGGGTAGCTGTTCCCATGGTCACCTGTCTTCTCTACCCACCCAAACCTTGAAGGGAAGAATTCAGTTTCTTAGGCTGCCTCAGTAACCAAGTCCTGTGCAGCCCTCACTCAGATGTGAAATCTCACCAAAGGTAAAACACCCATCCGGCGTGAGCCTCTCTGCAAAGCCATTTGTGGTGTGTTGTAGGCAGAGTGGTGAATGTATCCAGCATGCTGAGCCTCAGGGCCCTGAAAAACTGCAGCCCGGAGCTGCAGCAGAAGTTCCGAAGTGAGGCCATCACAGAGGAGGAGCTGGTGGGGCTCATGAACAAGTTTGTGGAAGACACAAAGAAAGGAGTTCATGCGAAGGAAGGCTGGCCTAATAGTGCATATGGGGTGCCCAAGCTTGGGGTGACAGTCCTATCCAGGATCCAGGCCCGGAAACTCAGCGAGCAGAGGAGAGGGGACAAGATCCTGCTCAATGCCTGCTGTCCAGGGTGGGTGAGGACAGACATGACCGGACCAGATGCCACCAAGAGCCCAGAAGAAGGAGCAGAGACCCCTGTGTACTTGGCCCTCTTGCCCCCAAATGCAGAGGGGCCTCACGGGCAGTTCGTTCAGGAGAAAAGAGTAGACCAATGGTGAGCTCAACTCTCTCCTCTTCCCACAGCTCCCCTCCCTCCTTGGACCCTCTTGGTAAGGGCTATGGACATTTGTAATGTACTAACACCACTCACTAATCTATCACTCATTAATTAGTTGTCTCATTGACCCTTGTGATTCTATGACTTACTTTATGTTTCTGCTCTAATACAGGATAAGAAATAGAGCATTCTGTAAGAGAAATAAATAACTGCTCCATTAAGCATCATGATTTGTGTACATTTGGGGCAGTTCCTTTACGTGTGAGTCCTTGCTCAGTTGGGTGGAAGTGTGCTGTGTGTATCTATGTGTCTGTGTATTCTACAGTATAATATCATTGGTACTTGCATATGTATATGTGGTGTAGCATGTATGCCTGTGTGTTTTGTGTGGCGGTTGTGTGGCTTGTGCTTCCTTTGTGAGTGTGTGGTATGGTATGTGATATGTTGTGTATGTGACATGGGTTATGACATGCATGTGGTGTATTGTAGTAATTGTGTGTAGCATCTACGTGTGTGGTGTGTGTATGGATTAACAGGGGTTGTGAGGTGTTTGTATTCTGTGTGTGTGTGTGTGTGTGTGTGTGGTGTAGTGCATTCATCTGAGTGTTGTGTGCTGTGTGTGGTGTGTGTGTGTATGTGTGACTATGGTCTATGGGAGTGTGGTGTAATATGAAAGTATGTATCTTCAGGGAGGGGTGTGTGTGTGTGTGAAAGAGAGAGAGAGAGAGAGAGAGAGAGAGAGAGAGAGAGAGAGCAGTGTGTCTGTCTGCACTGCACACAGGGATAGGGATCACAATGACTCTTGGAATGACTTCCTTCCTCCCACCTCACAAGGGCTCCTAGATTGAACTCAGGTTGCTGGGTTCCCCAAGCTCCTGCCCTCAAATGCTGAGTCATCACACCCATGCAGTCCTATTCCTGATTAGTAAGGCTTGGTAAACTACTGTCTAAAATCCTGGCTTCAAATGGCAGTTTACATGCAATCCATGAAAGGTTCAGGCATTACGCTGACCTGCCCTGTTACCTGGCAGGATGCACTCAGGCAACACTCTGGCCAGTCCAGAGTTCTGTGAGAACCACGCAGATGCAAAGGACCCCTTTAAAGGACTGACCCCTGCCCGCTTATGCTCTCTTTACTCTCTTACTCTCCTATTACTCTCCATCTCCTCTCCTCTCTCTCTCTCTCTCTCTCTCTCTCTCTCTCTCTCTCTCTCTCTCTCTCTCTCTCTCTCTCTCTCTCTCTCTCTCTCAGCTCTGCACGGATTGGTTACCTCTCACCCCCCTTTCCCTCCCTGTCCACCAATAAACTCCACGTGGCATCGTTGAGTCACGGTTTGTGTCTCGCTACAGGATAACCTAAACATTTTAACAACAATCCATATGAAACAACACAATCTTTTGCCATGGGAGTGTCTCCGATCTGTGTCCTTATTTCCCTGTATTCCCAAAACAACTGCCCTCTTGCATACTGCGGTCAGTGCAACTGAAATGTCTTACTTTAACTTAAATGGCTACCTGTGGATATTAGCACCCTACTGAACATTGAAGAAATGAAACTTAACCTTCAGATCCCTATTTCCAGAGTGTTAGGAAGCAGTGAGAATTTCTTTCCATCTACTAGAAAACTTTGTAAACTTTGTGAGCACAGAGCATCTGTCAGCTTGCAAAAGGGACTAAGAAGTGCATCCAGGTGCTGTTTTGAGTACAAAAGAGCAGGCTCCCTGATGGCCCTCACCTCTGTACAGCTCAGTGCTCATATCCCAGTAAGACAAAGCATTGGAACTTCGTAAAGAAACACCCCGTGCTGTTAGTAAGGAATGCTCCCTGCCAAGGATTAACCAACAGCATTGCTTTTCAACTTGAGTGGGAAACTCACCAGGAATTTCCATTCCTCATCCTTCTCACCAGTTCATCCTACAGCTCTAGATGCTACGACTTAAGGTCAGTGCGCTATTTCTCTAAACACCAGTAAGACTGTGTTCAAAGATCCAATCTGCAACTTGGGGAGGGAATACCGCACAAAATTCATACAAGCACAGAGGAATGTTCAGTGGCAGGGGCAAGGCAAATGTCTGACTCCCGGGTGGACAGCTGCAGCAGCCCCTCTGCAGACTTCCCCTGCAGTCTTGCCTGGCTGCTGGCTTCCAGAACTCCTTGAGGAAAATGCCAGGGAAGCCCATGAGCTGACCCAGGCATTTCCGTGGCTGAATTTCAACTGTACAACACACCCTGCCTGCTCTGAGCTAGCAAATGACCTGGCCTGTTTCTTTCATTGAAAAGATTTATACATCTAAGCCCGATACTGTGAAAGTGAGCCACCATCCCGTTAACACACCCCAGTAAGACTAGATGAGAGCTACACAGAGTGTTAAGCCAGCAAGAACCAGCTTCACAACTTGCCACGCCCTTGTGCAGGCGGGATCAGTTGATGCGCCTGCGCATTACGCCCTTGAAAGTAGACCCAACCAATCTGTCCTTAGAAAAACCGAGTTCAGAGCCAATCTCCTGCTACCTCCTGCTGCAGCAGGTACCTCAGGATCCGTGCTCTCCCACCGCCTCCCTAAGCACTCCCAGCCATGTCGTCCAGCACCCGCGTGGCGCTGGTGACCGGGGCCAACAAGGGCATCGGCTTCGCCATCACGCGTGACCTGTGCCGCAAGTTCTCGGGGGACGTGGTGCTTACCGCGCGGAACGAGGCGCGGGGCAAGGCTGCGGTGCAGCAGCTGCAGGCGGAGGGCCTGAGCCCCCGCTTTCACCAGCTGGACATCGACGACCAGCAGAGCATCCTCGCCCTGCGCGACTTTCTGCTCAAGGAGTATGGGGGACTGGACGTGCTCATCAACAATGCGGGCATCGCCTTCAAGAGTAAGACAGGGGGTGTGGGGAGGGGAGGCGCCTTTCCCAGAGCCTGGTGCCAGGCTGGGCTCCCCCTCTCTGGGGAGCATTACTAGGACAGGGGCTCTGTGACATGGGAGTCTAGAACAGGTCCCCTGGCAGACACAGGACAGGTTGGGGGCTGCAGAGAGTCCCTGGTGCTTGTGAATCCAGAACTTGGACAAGTTCCCATCATTCCCAGGTTTCCCTCGCCCACCTTTGAAGTCATTGGTCTTGGGGATATTTGAGTGGAACCCTCAGCTCATGAAGACATAAACAAGAATTCTGGGAGAGAAAGAGCAGAGCGGGAAACAGGTGTTACATGCAGATCCTGATGCACGGGCCTCCCTCAGCCTCCCCCAGTGGCGCAGTCTTTCAGAATCAAGAGAACATTATCAGACTGACAGTGGGTTGGTGCTCTCACTGATCGCTAGGAAGTGCATTTCTAACCCACTCAATCCATTCTCTTTCTGCTCTGGAAGATGCTGACCCAACTCCCTTCCACATTCAAGCAGAAGTGACAATGAAAACCAACTTTTTTGGTACCCAAGATGTCTGCACAGAGCTACTCCCTCTAATAAAACCCCAAGGTGAGTCTGGTGTCCAGGCGCTCCTCTGCCTCTCTGCCACAGGGAGGTGTGGGTCTGCTCTTCTGGTCACAATTGTTTTGTGGGCACTGATGCTCTCTGTGCCTGTCTGACTCCTCTCTAACCATCCCCCTGCTTCCAAGTCTGTTTGTTCCACACCCTCACAACTGAAGGGCTTTAAGGATTCCATTCCTCCCTAAAACATAGTGCACAGCACCGGGCCCCCTGCTGGTCACAATGCCCTGTCCCCACAAGGCCTCAGATTGTGCCCACTGAGTGCTTCCCTCAGCTTAGCTCCACAGCAGTCTCCGCTGTCACATGGCACAGTGCCCGCCCTCCCAGGAGGCCTCCCTTCATGAGCATGCTCCTTTGCCTCATTTCTGTCTACACAACTCCTCCAGTCCCAAAGATCCTTCAGGAGAGAGCCCAAGCCTTTGGCAAGGTTCAGAACGCTCTATAATGTCACCTGCCACTCCTCCAGACTCATGATAACTCTCCTTCAACATGTGCATGTACTGCAAAACAAACTGTGACATCACTTCCATCATGACCTGCTAACACCCCAAGCCATTTGGATAGCGTGTGAACCACTTCTTACTCCAAACACACCAGCAAAGACAGGCCAGCCACTGTAGCAATGTGACCTTCTGGTTTAGTCTTGAGTATATCTCCCCTGATCTCATGTGCTTCCTCCTGTCTGGTCTCTGGATCTCTAGAGCATCTAAGGGTAGCTGTTCCCATGGTCACCTGTCTTCTCTACCCACCCAAACCTTGAAGGGAAGAATTCAGTTTCTTAGGCTGCCTCAGTAACCAAGTCCTGTGCAGCCCTCACTCAGATGTGAAATCTCACCAAAGGTAAAATACCCATCCTGCATGAGCCTCTCTGCAAAGCCATTTGTGGTGTGTTGTAGGCAGAGTGGTGAATGTATCCAGCATGCTGAGCCTCAGGGCCCTGAAAAACTGCAGCCCGGAGCTGCAGCAGAAGTTCCGAAGTGAGGCCATCACAGAGGAGGAGCTGGTGGGGCTCATGAACAAGTTTGTGGAAGACACAAAGAAAGGAGTTCATGCGAAGGAAGGCTGGCCTAATAGTGCATATGGAGTGACCAAGATTGGGGTGACAGTCCTGTCCAGAATCCAGGCCCGGAAACTCAGCGAGCAGAGGAGAGGGGACAAGATCCTGCTCAATGCCTGCTGTCCAGGGTGGGTGAGGACAGACATGGCTGGACCAAAAGCCACCAAGAGCCCAGAAGAAGGAGCAGAGACCCCCGTGTACTTGGCCCTCTTACCCCCAGATGCAGAGGGGCCTCACGGGCAGTTCGTTCAGGAGAAAAAGGTAGAACAATGGTGAGCTCAACTCTCTCCTCTTTGCACAGCACCCCTCCCTTTCTTGTCAAGGGCTATGGACATTTATACTATACTAACACAATTTCCTATTTAACACTGGTTAATTGGTTGACTCGTTAATCCTTGTGATTCTGTGAATTATTTTATGATTCTGTCTGTGATACAGAATAAGAAAAAGTCGATTCTGGAAATCAATAAATCACTAGTTCATTAAGTATAATGATTTCTATGAATTTGGGGTGTTTCCTTTATGTGTTGAGTGTCTTGTGTAGGGGAATGGACATGTACTTCATGCTTAAGTGCCTGTGAGGTCCACATAGGGCATCTGTCCCTGGACCAGGAGTGAAGATGCTCTGAGGTATCTCCAGGAGCAGTAAGTGCCCCTCCCTGCTGACCCAGCATTCCAGTCCTCCTTTTGCAGATTCTCTTCCATGCAAAATTGGCTTCATCTCGACAGTTTAATTATGACAAGAGTCAGATGAAGGGAAGGCACAGTCTAACTCCAGTCAGTGAAGAACCAACGAGACAGGCCACACCAAGTGGCACCTGCAGGCTTTAGCTGGTGTGTCCTTGGGTGACAGGTAGGACACACTTTAAAGTCTGAGTCAAGGACAGTTCTACTGTTCAAAATACAACTCTCAGGTTCTCCAGAGGAATAAAGGAACATTTATTCCAGAGCCATTGAGTGATCAAGACCTGGGAACACAGACTTAGGTAACCCAAGTCCCAACAGAAAAGCAGTTTCATAAACATTGTATATCTTTTTTTGTTCTATGAAATTGTACAGAACAAAGAAAGTCTTAAATCAGGAGAACTTCAAAATGCATTGGTAGCAAGTTCAGAGAAATGGGTACAATGAGGTGTGGGAGCCATGTTACAAGCCCAGGATGCTGTCCGATGGCATCCTTCGCTCTTGGATTACTGGAAGTTAGTGTCCTGCTGAATTAAAAGCTTCCAAGAGCTATCACCATCATCAGTGTCTTCCTCCTCCCCATCATCATCATCCTCATTAGGTATTTCTTCGGAGTGGGGCAAGGAATGCCCACTCCAGACCCTACAACTAGCCCATGATAGAGTTCTCAGCCTCTGAACCTGCTGGGTTCCAGGGTCTCCACACTGCTGAAGTTCCTCTCAGTCCTCCAGTGTCTGCAGACACGGACTCCTCCCTGGAGTTCTGATCACAGCAGGCACAGCTTCTCTTCTGGATCTTTACTTCACAGTTTACCCATTGGGCAAGCATTCCATTTTGCAGCAGAGGCCACATGTTAATGTTCTGAGTCTTCCCTCGTGGCTGTGCCCCAAGTCTAGGAACTGATGTACATGAGGCTTGAGCCGAGGACAGGACGGCATCTTTAGGAGCAAGGAATACTGGAAAACCCATGAGCATCGCCGGCATCTTATGGAAACAATTAGCCACTCCATCAACAACTCAATTATTGTCTTTTATGACTTCTATGTCTGTCTTTACATTTATTTGTGACATAGATGACCAAAATTAAATAATCAGAACACAGTTTTGCTTAACAGAGTGAAAACTACAGATAAAACCAGTGTCTAAAATAACTAATCCTTACAAGATCAGCTACATAGTTACTGGTGTATTCACAGGTATTTTTATCTGATGAATTTTACTTTGTTTTAAAGGTTTAGAAAAGGAACTCTCAATGCAGTTACTCTGATATTACCTGTCTTCCTTCTTTCTAAAATACTGTTTAATACCAGCTGATTGTATTATAGAGCATATCAGATACTAATTCAATCAAGAAGCATTAGTATTTAACGTGAGAAACTTCAAAATGTTGTTATCAGACATTAGTGTCTTTTGTATAATTGGGATAAGAATAATGAACCCAAATATTTGAGTGTCTCTAGCCAAGCAAAAGAGGTGTATTAGGGTTGCCTAAAGTAACAGTAATTGTGGAATGAATACCTTTCTCTACATACATGTGTGAGTTGGGGGGTGTTGTGTGTGTATAGTGTGGCTGTGATAGTGTACTTTGTATGGGTAGAATGTGTGAATGTGTACTGTAATGCAGCAGGTGTTATTTGTGTTTGGTATTGTGTGGTGTTGTGTATAATTGGAATGTGGTGTGCTGTGTGTATGTGTGTGGTGCAGTATGTATGGTGTGTGTATATGGGGTGTAGTGTATATGTCTGTGTTTTGTATGGTGTTGTGTGGTTAGTGTGTCCTATGTGTGAGTGTGGGGTATGGTATGTGAAGTCGTTTGTATGTAATGTGGGTATATGATGTGGGTGTGGTGTATGTGTTGTGTGCCTGTGTAGTGTCGATGTGTGTGTTGTGTGTATGGTGTAGCAGGGCGTTGTACTATGTGTGTATTGTGTCTGCGTGTGTGCAGATGTGATGTGAGGGTGGCGTGTTGTGGTGTGTGTGGTGTATTATGGAAGTGTGGCATGTGTGGTGTGGTATGTTTGTGTTGGGTGTGAATTTGGTGAGGGAATTGTATGGAGTGCTGATTCATCTGTGTTATGTGTACTGTGGTGTGCTTGTCTGAGAGAGAGAGAGTGTGTGTGTGTGTGTGTGTGTGTGTGTGTGACTCTGGTCTATGGGAGTGTGGTATAATATGAAAGTATGTACCTTCAGGTGTGTGTGTGTGTGTGTGTGTGAGAGAGAGAGAGAGAGAGAGAGAGAAAGCAGTGTGTCTGCCTGCACTGCACACAGGGATAGGGATCACAACGACTTCTTGGAATGACTTCCATCCTCCACCGCACAAGGGCTCCTGGATTGAACTCAGATTGCCCGGTTCCCCAGGCTCCTGCCCTCAGCTGCTGAGACACACACCCATGCAGTCCTTTGCCTGATTAGTAAGGCTTGGTAAATTCTGAACTAGAAGCCTGGCTTAGACTGGCAGTTTACATGCAATCCATATGAAACAGCACAATCTTTTGTCATGGGAGTGTCTCAGATCTGTGTCCTTATTTCCCTGTATTCCCAATAATACCGCGCTCATGCAACCGTGGTCAGTGCAACTGAAATGTCTTACTTTAACTTAAATGGCCACCTGTGGCTATTAGCACCCTATGGAACATTGAGGAAATGAAACTTGACCTTCAGATCACTATTTCCAGGGTGTTAGGAAGCATTGAGGATTCCTTTCCCTCTCCTGGACCAACTGCAAATTTTGTGAGCACAAGCATCCTGTCAGCTTGAAAGGGGGACTAAGAAGTGCTTCCAGGTGCTGTTTTGAGTACAAAAGAGCAGGTTCCCTGATGGCCCTCACCTCTGTACAGCTCAGTGCTCACACCCCAGTAAGACAAAGCATTAGAAGTTCGTAAAGAAACACCCCGTGCGGTTAGTAAGCAATGCTCCCTGCCAAGGATTAACCAACAGCATTGCTTTTCACCGAGTGGAAAACTCACCACGAATTTTCATTCCTCATCCTTCTCAACAGTTCATCCTACAACTCTAGTTGCTACGATTTAAGGGCAGTGCTCTATTTCTCTAAACGCCAGTAAGACTGTGTTCAAAGATCCAATCTGCAACTTGGGGAGGGAATACCGCACAAAATTCATACAAGCACAGAGGAATATTCTGTGGCAGGGGCAAGGCAAATGTCTGACTGCCGGGTGGACAGCTGCAGCAGCCCCTCTGCAGACTTCCCCTGCAGTCTTGCCTGGCTGCTGGCTTCCAGAACTCCTTGAGGAAAATGCCAGGGAAGCCCATGAGCTGACCCAGGCATTTCCGTGGCTGAATTTCAACTGTACAACACACCCTGCCTGCTCTGAGCTAGCAAATGACCTGGCCTGTTTCTTTCATTGAAAAGATTTATACATCTGAGCCCGATACTGTGAAGGTGAGTCACTATCCCGTAAATATACACCAATAAGACCAGAGGACAGATACAGAGAGTATAAAACAGGAAAGAACCAGTCTCCCAGTTTGCCACGCCCTCCTAGAGGCGAGGTCAGTTGATGCGCCTGCGCATTGAGCCTATACCAGCCTACCCAACCCTGCTGTCCTTAGAAAACCCGGGTTCAGAGTTTGGCTCTCATACTACCTGCTGCAGCAGCAGGTACCTCAGGATCCGTGCTCTCCCACCGCCTCCCTACGCACTCCCAGCCATGTCGTCCAGCACCCGCGTGGCGCTGGTGACCGGGGCCAACAAGGGCATCGGCTTCGCCATCGCGCGTGACCTGTGTCGCAAGTTCTCGGGGGACGTGGTGCTCACCGCGCGGAACGAGGCGCGGGGCAAGGCTGCTGTGCAGCAGCTGCAGGCGGAGGGCCTGAGCCCCCGCTTCCACCAGCTGGACATCGACGACCGGCAGAGCATTCGCGCCCTGCGCGACTTTCTGCGCAAGGAGTACGGGGGACTGGACGTGCTCATCAACAATGCGGGCATCGCCTTCAAGAGTAAGACAGGGGGTGTGGGGAGGGGAGGCGCCTTTCCCAGAGCCTGGTGCCAGGCTGGGCTCCCCCTCTCTGGGGAGCATTACTGGGACAGGGGCTCTGTGACATGGGAGTCTAGAACAGGTCCCCTGGCAGACACAGGACAGGTTGGGGGCTGCAGAGAGTCCCTGGTCCTTGTGAGTCCAGAACTTGGACAAGTTCCCATCATTCCCAGGTTTCCCTAGCCCAGCTGTGGAGTCATTGGTCTTAGGGATATTTGAGTGGAACCCTCAGCTCATGGTGACATAAACAAAAATTCTGGGAGAGAAAGAGCAGAGCGGTTAACAGGTGTTACATGCAGATCCTGATGCACGGGCCTCCCCCAGCCTCCCCCAGCCTCCCCGTGTGGCGCTGTCCTTCAGAATCAAGAGAACATTATCAGACTGACAGTGGGTTGGTGCTCTGACTGAACGCTAGGAAATGCATTTCTAACCCACTCAATCCATTCTCTTTCTGCCCTGGAAGATGCTGACCCAACTCCCTTCCACATTCAAGCAGAAGTGACAATGAAAACCAACTTTTTTGGTACCCAAGATGTCTGCACTGAGCTACTCCCTCTGATAAAACCCCAAGGTGAGTCTGGTGGGTGGTGTCCAGGCGGCTCCTCTGCCTCTCTGCCACAGGGAGGTGTGGTTCTGCTCTTTTGGTCTCCGCAGTTGCCAACCATCCCTTCTGCTTCCACACGCTCACACGGCACAGTGCACACCTCTCAGGAGGCCTCCCTTTTTGAGCGTGCTCAAACACCCTTCCGGCATGAGCCTCTCTACAAAGCCATTTGTGGTGTGTTGTAGGCAGAGTGGTGAATGTATCCAGCATGGAGAGCCTCAGGGCCCTGAAAAACTGCAGCCCGGAGCTGCAGCAGAAGTTCCGAAGTGAGGCCATCACAGAGGAGGAGCTGGTGGGGCTCATGAACAAGTTTGTAGAAGACACAAAGAAAGGAGTTCATGCGAAGGAAGGCTGGCCTAATACTGCATATGGGGTGACCAAGATTGGGGTGACAGTCCTGTCCAGAATCCATGCCCGGAAACTCAGCGAGCAGAGGAGAGGGGACAAGATCCTGCTCAATGCCTGCTGTCCAGGGTGGGTGAGAACAGACATGGCTGGGCCAAAAGCCCCCAAGAGCCCAGAAGAAGGAGCAGAGACCCCCGTGTACTTGGCCCTCTTACCCCCAGATGCAGAGGGGCCTCACGGGCAGTTCGTTCAGGAGAAAAAAGTAGAACAATGGTGAGCTCAACTCTCTCCTCTTTGCACAGCACCCCTCCCTCTCTTGTCAAGGGCTATGGACATTTATACTAACACAATTTACTAATCTATCACTGGCTAATTGGTTGACTCGTTAATCCTTGTGATTCTGTGAATTATTTTATGATTCTGTCTGTGATACAGAATAAGAAAAGTAAATTCTGGTAATAAATAACTGGTTCTTTAAGCATGATGATCTCTATTTATTGGGGGGTGTTTCCTTTATGTGTTGAGTGTCTTGTGTAGGGGGATGGACATGTACTTCATGCTTAAGTGCCTGTGAGGTCCACATAGGGCATCTGTCCCTGGACCAGGAGTGAAGATGCTCTGAGGTCCCTATAGGAACAGCAAGTGCCCCTCCCTGCTGACCCAGCATTCCAGTCCTCCTTTTGCAGATTCTCTTCCATGCAAAATTGGCTTCATCTCGACAGTTTAATTATGACAAGAGTCAGATGAAGGGAAGGCACAGTCTAACTCCAGTCAGTGAAGAACCAACGAGACAGGCCACACCAAGTGGCACCTGCAGGCTTTAGCTGGTGTGTCCTTGGGTGACAGGTAGGACACACTGGAAAGTCTGCGTCAAGGACACGATGGCAAAGAGCAGCTTTCCTAAGGAGGAAGAGATCATTTTCCTGGAGACTCTTTGATTGACGTGGCCCCGGAATACAGGTTTAGTTTCCCCCCAAGTTCTGTGTTCCAACTCGGGAGCAGTTTCGTGAAGGTTTTATAGTTTTACAGAACACAGAAAGTCATAAATCAAGACAACTTTAAAATCCATTAGTGGGTACCAGAGAGGTGGGTACCAAGAGATGAGGAGCTACGCCACAGGCCCAGGTGCTGTCTGATAACATTCTGAGATCTTGCGTTTGTGGAAGCTAGTGTCCAGCCGAGTTAACAGGTCCCAAGAGGTTTTTAATTATTATCAGGAAATAAGTTGAGTTATGGAGTTGGGCAAGGAATGGCCATTGCAGAAGCTAACACTAGCCCAAGAGAACTTAATTAGGCTCTGTACCTGCAATCTTCCTGTCTATCCACAGCATATTTATAAAGACAATGAAAAGAGGACTTAAATCTTTAAAGCATTTGTTTGAAAGCAGTTTCAACCAAAAGGCACAATCAATGGAAGCACATCATATTTTCATTGGTAATTGTATTAAAGCCAAGGCTAGTATTTCTTTTATTATTTAGAAATACACTAGATGGAATTCATAATGTAATTTCAAAAAATGTTTAAGAAACTGTAATGTTTATAGTAAAAAATGTCTTTAGGCATGTAAAAATAGTTGTGTCAGGAACCCCACTATAACCAAGGCTGCACCTTATAATAACTCAGTGACATCACTACTCAAGATAACCAGACAGTCCTAGACCCCATGACACCTACTCTGCTATTTGTAAGCAGAGACCAAGAGCAATGCTCAGCTCTGCACATCTGGAGAGACACTGTCCTCATTCTCCCTGGGGCTGGAGTCTCCCTCAGGATCCAGAGTCCATGGGCCCTGCATTAGTGTGTGTGTGTGTGTGTGTGTGTGTGTGTATGTGTGTGTGTCTGTGCACTCGTGCACACATGCACAGAAGAAAGGAAATGAAGGTCAGAAAAGAACCCAACACAACTACAAGAGAAAAGAGAGAAATGCCTATGAAACCAAGATCCTATTCCTTCATAAAATAATAGGTGACATGCAGCCAATGCTTCAGGAAAAATGCAGAATTCCCAATATCAGGACGACAGAAGCAACAGCTCTACAACTCATGGGGGATGAGGAGTCCATGCACAAACAACTTCCTATCACAGAAGAGACAGCTAAGGGAGATATTCAGAAGTTCGAAAGACACTCAAGAAAGGTTAGAAAACACAAACAGCTCTCCTCTAAAGTGAAACTCCATCGTCTTTCAGTGTACCGCGATGACTACAGATTTCCACAGCTGGTCAAATTGCGAAGCATCATCAGCTATGTGGTGTCTGCCCCAGCTGATAAATCTATAGTGCAAACCCTGCAGCTAGGACTCAGGAGAAAGCTTGTTAAAGCCGGGGCTCAGGGCACCTGTTGATGAATGGTGTCAGAGAGAATCTGTGAAATCTCAACAATATGACGGCCTAAATAAGACATAATTAATGTAAATGCCAGTTGACATGTTAGCATGTGTTGCAAACTTCCCCAAGGACCCACCCCTAGAGGAAGAGCTACAGGTAATCAATGAGGAGACAGAGAATCGGTCTTCTCCAGGGACGAGTTCCTGATAGGCAATCTGATCCAAAGCGGTCAGCCCTAGACATGAACAACACTAATGAGCTCAATAGGAAGCGCGTACACGCATGCACACACGTGTGTGTGTGTGTGTACGTGTGTGTGTGCGTGTAAAACAGTAATAATTATAAAAGGAGAGGTGATGAACCCGAGAAAGAATGAGGGGGACAGGAGGGATTGGAGGGGGAGGGAGGGGGAAAATGGTACAAACCTAGTACTCACTCGTGAAATTCTCAAAAACAAAAATAAAATTTAAAAACCAAGCTTCAAAGGATCTCTAAGGAAAAAAACAGGGATGTCTGCTGTGACACAAAGGGAGCTACACAGCATGCGACTCCCGTGATTGCATAGGGCGGATAAGCAAAGTCCACTCGAAAAAGCCTGAGTCACAATGAGATGGACGTTGTTAGGAAAACCCAAAGTCACCTGCAAACACATGGCTTCCAGTGGAGACTTGATTGGGGCCCGCACAACGCATGGGAGGAACCCGTAGATAACTTATTAACTGGCCTTAGGCAAGCATAAATGTCAGCACTTTTGATCACAGTGCCGCAAATGCCCTAAGACAGATAACCCTTGATAAACACACTCTCCCCACAAGGCCACGCTGGGAATCACTCCAAGAAATGTGTCCTGCCCACAGATGGTACATCTAATTTTTATGAAGACTATGTGATTGTACAGACTGTGTGGAGGTTGCTCCCACACTCTGGGTGCTCTTGGGTGACCCCAGCCAGCTGAACCCCGAGCTACCCAAGGGGCATGGGGCGGGGGGAGTGGTCTGGGAGGGTGCAACATCCTGCCCGCACTACATAGCTAAGTGTTGCCGACAGTGTGCTCTGGGACAGGAAGAAAGAAAACTACTTCGGGGAAGCAGCCAGCAGTAGTTGACAGCAGACATTTCCCCAGTAGGAATCCGACGGCCGTGCACCTGGCCCTTCCCTCCACTGTGCAGAAACTGCTCAACACCTTTGTGTTTTTCCCTGGAGACTCTGTTTCTTCCTGTGCACTTCTACTTTATTTCGTTCTTAGCAGTATTTTTTAACTTTAGCATACCCTTTACATTTTTACTTTCCTCTTCTCATTTTGCTTGTGAAAAATTTTTTTTACTGTTAGGATTTTTTTTTTCATTTCCTTTCTTTGAAAGAAATTCTTCAGTGACATTTGCTTGGTCTTATCTGCCTGTATGTGTGTTGGTTTTCTGACCCCTCCTCGTGGGTCTCAGCTCCGGCTTGGCCGCAAGCTCTTCTGCCTGCTGAGCCACCTTGCCTGCCCTCTTTTTGTATTTCACTCCCTCTCCTCCTGCTACTCGTCTACATTTAAAACGATTGTGACTTTTCCCTATTGGTTAAAAAAAAAAAACACTGCTATGTTTCTAGTTCCCCGAGTAACATTGTTATAATTTTGTTCTCCAGCCGTTTCCTAATTGGACTCCCTCCCGGTTTTCTTTTCTCTTTATCCCTTCTAGCCTCCAGCTCTTCTCCCACCGCACTCTTGTCTCTCCTCCTCTTTCCTGGCTTTCACCTGACCTGCTTCCCTTCCCCTTTTCCTTGCGTCTTTTATCTGTCTCACGTGTTATCTTTGCACTTGCCCTACACAATTTTAAGGTTCTACCTTTGCTCATGTGTCCGTGTGTGCACCCTTGTGTGTGTGAATGCCAGAAGAGGCCAGAAGAGGGCGCTGGATTCTCTGGGTCTGGAGTTCCCGGTGGTTGTTTCCGAGGTCCTCTGGAAAAGAAGAAAGAGATGACCTGCTGAGTTACCTCTCCGCTGAATGATTTTTTTAACTTACAGCATATTCCCCATCAGCTTTTCCAGTACCCGGTTTTGTGGCCACTGGTGCTGTGTTAGCTGGCCACGGTGGATTCCAAGTGTTGCTCTTATGCACTGATGCTACTACAGCATTTGATTCCTCCTGCGTGAAGAGCATTGGGACTGGGCTTTCAAGAGAGGCGCTCTAGGTACATTTCTGCTGCTGTCATACAATACCCTGGCCTACAGGAACTTCAGGCAGGAAAGGGCTCATCTGGCCTACAGTTCCAGGTACAGTCCCTCACCTTTGGGAAGGCAAGGCAGGAGCTGAGCGAGCTGGTCACATCACATCAGAGAGCAGAATGAAACGGATGCACCCACTCTGCCTGCGCTCACCTGGCTCTCTCCTGTCTGTCTCATCCAGGACCCCTTTCCCAGGTAACACCACTGCCTGCAACAAGTCAGGTCCTCAGACCAAGTAGCAATGAAGATATTCTGCCACAGACATGACCCAGGACACCTTGATGAGGACATTCTCTCACTGAGACACTCTTCCTGGGTGATTCCAGACTGAGTCGACTTGTCAGATAAAGCTAGCTGTCACAAGAGCATTACAATAAGATTCCCAACTGAAACCAGAAGAAACACCCAGACAGACAGATGCACAAATCGCAGCATGGAGACACAGAGATCATAAACTAACGAAGCACACGACACCCCCTGAGATCTCAACCCCTCAGCCAATCAGCTAAGAGATAGTAAAACAGGAAGCATTTTAGGTGACAATTTCAAAATGTTTCTGATAAAAATGATCCTTGGCTGAAAAAGGGTCCCAATAAGCAACTGAGTTCAACAAGGAATGGAGAAGGAAAGACAGCCAGACAAAGAAAAACCTCAACAAAATGGGTAAGAAAAGCAGTAGTACAGATGGGAAAATCCAACATGGAAAAAAATTTAAATTGTGAAAGAAAGTAAACAAATAGAAATATTGGAAGCGAAATCTCAGTAAGTCAAATTTTGAAAAAAAATGGAAACCATCCCCAGTGGGCATCCCCATGCAAAATAAAGAATGTTGAGGTGGAAGAAATGTTGATGTTGGAACAGTATTATAGTCAAACATCAATAAGGAATGGTAATGAGAAGCAAGCATGACTTCATGCCCAAGAACTCTGGAATACAAGGAAAAA